CAATGGTATAAAGATGGAGCTATAGGCGATACCCTGCCAATCCCAATCCCAGTCCCAGTCCTAGTACCCAGACCCACTTCTAGAGTCAGCGATATCCGTTCCGGCCTCTGCAGTTTGTTTATCTTTGACCATATTTGCAGACCCTCGATCTATTTGCGATTCGGTCGAGCTGGCATTATCTATTTCTTATGGGGGATGGGTATGGGGAAGGGTTAGTGGATTCCTGGAACCACTTCAGATAGCTCAGCTGCGTCTTATAAATGAATTAATAATGCAAGCAAGCATAATAACCAAAATGCTTCGTTTGTTATTCTGAGGGATACGATTTCACTTATGTGTTACTATTCTGTACTTAATGGGAGCTTATGGAGCCATAGAATCAACATAAGCTGATGTAAAATAGAACATTTGATATAGTTATATTTATAAACTTAAGAAACTATACAATATACTCATTAAAGACGAAAGAAAAGCTCAAAATTTGTGCAACCAAACATGTGATTCGAGTTTGCTTTTGGCTTTTTAAAGATTTTGCCATAATAATCTGATCTTGAATTTAAGCTCATTTATCACTTCAGCTCCTTTTCCCGAATATATATAAAATATAAAATGTATAAGACACAGTGAAAAAGGGTCCCAGCGGTGTCCCCATTCCTGTGCATCCCCTGCTCCCATCAGTGACTCCAACTAAAACTCCGAAGCCAGATCGAGACGGAGAAGAGCAAGGGAAGAGGTGGCAGCGGGAAGAGCAGGTACAAAGTCGTTAGCACTTTGCTTGGTGTGAAGTTACCCAAGTCACAGACTCCCAATCCCCCTCAGCTAACCTTGTTACACGGCCAGAAGACAGACGTTTAACACGGCCAACAGGAGAACGAACAGCGGACAACGAATCTGGCTTTTTCTCAGCTTGAGATACCGTATTAAAAATATATAAATATTACCAAACTTCTAGTAATCCTGATCATTTGATCCTAAGCCAACTAAAATAGTACCTACTATATTCAAGATATCTTAACTTAAAGCTTAAAAAATAAATAGAAAAACGTATTATCTTTATCTAGATCTTGTCCTAACTTAATGGCATTAGTATTTGGGTAAAATAAGGATTTCTTTCAAAATTCCTGCAACTTTGCAGGATCGAGGTCCTGCAAAACATTGAAGCTGATATATCATATTTTGGAATTTTTAATCTTCAAGCTGATTCAAGATCATTTTCCCTGCAAAGTGCTATATGGCTATTATATTGGGCCAGAAAAAGCTATTTCATGACTGGATAACTGGCAGCACTGAAGCAGACTGGACAAACGATGGATCCCCACTCATCGTTGTCTGACCATCATCACGTATGAATGGTTCGAGTGGAGATCGAGGGATCCAGGAGGTCTTGGGGGAAAAGAAAGACAACGACGACGATGATGATGGGTCTGAAAACAAGTTAAGCTGTCTTAATAAGATCAAACATGGCGATTATGAGGAATTACTTGGAGATAATGACATCCGAATAAGAGTCTTGAGTACTCTACGCTGGCACGAAAGATCAGAGATCGACGCAGAACTCCTCCGCGAAACCGAAAAACCCAAAAACGCTTACGTTAAGTGAACTAATTGCCGCTTCTGGGATTGTGCTGGGTATCGGAATCCCACGGATGCGTAATTGAATCACTGGCTCTGAGGATCGTAGGCGGAAGCACTGGCCCCGGAATGGAACAACGCAATTTGAGCGTGGTTCATGAATATATATACTAATACATACTGAAGTAGCTCGGTATTGTCATATGGCAGGTCGCAACGGGATCGTGATCATGATCGCGATTGGGGATCGGGGATCGGGATCGGGATCGGGATCAGACCGACCCGATTTCCTATAAATACAGCATTCACGATTTGTTTTGAAATTATTTTTATTTTGTGCTAATTAATGCTGGGACCGATAAGCGATAAGCCGGCTCCTAAGCACATGATTGTCGATAGACGTCGACGACGACGGCGGACTACGCCGGATAGATAATCCCACATATTCTCATGGTCAATCTAGGTCCGAATCTGAGCTGGAATTTCAAAATCAAAATCGCACTGATATAATATGTGACCCGAACCGGGCAGAAGGTGTACGTAGGTTGCATTTGTGGTCTCGTGATCATATTTCTATATAATAATATCTTTAAAATGTCAGAGATTTAAAGTAAAGATACTTTTTGTACTCGATTCTGATCAGTGCACCTCTCTCGCTGCCAAGATCAGGTGCTTCCAAGAGGAAGATGGCCAGCTGAAGAGGCAAAGAAAAAAGGATGAAGAGAAGGAGGTGAAGGTGCCAAAGGGGCAGCATTATTATCAAAGTCCATATCAAGCCAATGGAATGAAGATGAAGCCATGAACGACGATCCTTAATGTTTGAAGTTCTTTTTACCTTTTTGTTGTTGTTGTTCACTCGTTGCTGCCATTATCGTTAGTGTTGTTTTTGGTGTTGCTGTCGTCAACGATATAATTGCTTCAACTTGAGCAGCGAGAGAAACGAGAGGAAAAGGGACAGATTAACATTTTAGCGTGAAACGGGGCGACATCAGAAGGAGTTGGGGCATAAGGTGACGGAGAAGCAGAAGCAAAAGCAGAAGCAGAAGGAGGAGCAGTAGCAGCGCTGCTGCAGCAATCAAAGTAGGAACAGCAGCAGCAACAACAATTTGTTAGCTCTTTACGATTATTGCCTTTCTCACACCTTATTACCAAGAAAATAAAGAAGCAGCAACAGCAGCAAATACGCGACGATAAGACGTGAAAAAACAAAACCCAAGGCACAACAAAAAGACACCAGCAGCAGCGGCAGCAGCAGCAGCGGCGACAACAGCAACATAAACGAGAACAAGAAGCTGCCCCTGGTCAGTGCGAAAGGAAGGGGAGGGGGTCATTTTGGAGTGGTTGTGGAGAGTCCAAGAGTGGGAGAGAGAGTGAGTGGAATGGGAGAGGGACAACTCCAAGTGCTGGAAATCGCACACTCACAAACACACACTCACATGGACACACGCACAGGTGCTGCGAAGTGCACTGAAGTGCAAGGGAGAGGCAAAGGGTCCCATAAACAATTCGTTTAACAAAATTATATGCACTTTAAGAAAATCTTAACATAAAATACCCTTTAAAATAATATATTCCCATAAATATGTATAATAACAAAAATCAATTTTTTAAAACTATCAAAAGATATATGAATAAATATTCAACTATGAAAACAAATATAAAAAACGATCGTTTTAATTAAAACATGTTTAAGTCAGTTTGAGAATTCTTCCCATTTTCTCTGAGTGTACTTTAAAAGAGTGCAAACAAATTGTTGCCCCGAAAAGAAGTCATCGGCTAAAAGGATTTCAAATGCACACACTCACACTTGCTCACACAAATACTAAAGAGTAAGACAGAGCGAGCGGAGACAATCGGCAAATGATGATCTAGAGAGAAAGGGTGGAGGCTGGAAGAGTCACTTCCCCGGCTACCGATTTAAATGATGTCCAGTGCGCAGCAGCAGCAACAAAAAAAAAAAAAACTAAAAAAGAGCAACAACACGGCACTTGCAGGTCTGTTTGCTTAATGATACAACACTCACTCTCTCTCACACATTCACACACTGCCGGGCGAGAGGCTGTGTGTGAAACACCAACAAAAACACCTTCGGCAAATAAGCAGACGGCTTGAAGGGGAAGACTGAAACGACGGGAAGATACTCTGTAGAATTGGAGAGATAGCCACTGGAGAGAATAAGGCTGCAAGTTCTATTAGGTACTCCCATTGGTTGTTTCAATAATTACGTTTTCGCACATAGTTACCATTAAGTATCTTTAAGATAAATAATAATAAATAAAATATTTAGTTATCAAGCAATCATTATAGGGTGCCCTAGTAGTCGTTCCCTAAATATTAACCGCCGTAACGCATTAATCCTGGCCGCTACTCCTACTAATGATAACGATCACCGATTGAGTGGCAGAGGCTGGCGAAGAAGGAGGAGCGAAGGAGAGCCAGACAACAGGCGGATAACAACGCCTGTCTCCAAGTAGGCTCAAGTGCCTCACGGGTCGAAGGAGGCGGAGGTGGAGGTGGCAGGAGGCACGCAGACACGCAGGCTGGCCAAGGCGGACAGACGACGCAGAAGCAGGAGCTACTACTCCAAGAGCTACAGAATTCCGATTCCGATGATGCGATCGTGTCTCTACACGGCTGCTGTTGTCTGTGTGTGTGTTTGTGCAAGGCGGCGAAGTCGAGTGGAGTCAAGCAGAAGGAGTTTTGCACCATTCCACTCCATTACCAGTTCCCCAGTTCCCAGATCACAGTCACCAGCTTCCAGCTCCAAGCTCAGAGCTCACAGCTCCCGTCTCCCAGTTGCCAGGAGCCTTGCGTCTCCTCTCCCGAGCTGTGGCAATCAAATGGCCAACGTTGGACAATACTTTCACGCCTTTCGAGCGCGCCAAAACGATCCAACCGAGTATAGAGGCGGTACATGCCATGAGGCCGTATAGATACCCTTCCTTTTTTTGGAATTTTCATTGGAGAAATACTTAGCGAAATGTCACAAATTTAATCTATTAAACAAGGTAATTTTAAAACACAATTATTAAATTGATTATTCTGCGTTTAAGATAATAAGCAATTATAGCTTTTCTAACTCTTCAAAATCCATCTATATCTTAAGAATTTATATATTCCAGACATAACTTAAAATTAATTTTAATCAATTGGACTTTTTTCTCCGTGCACTTGTCCGTTAGGATCGGTCAAATTCACTTGAGCGCTCAATCTGGAGAATCTCAGCTCCAATTGAAAAACGGGAACGGATATTAATTGAAATTGAATGACGAACAATCGCTACATTGATTCGAGAGAGTGTGCAAGTGTTTTTTTGATCAGTTCTTATCGCTAAGTACGTATTGAGCGCGATTTCCCGATGCGATATTGGTTGGGGTTGGGTTAGGGTCGAAATTCAAATGGGAATCAAGCTTTTTCGCACAATTTACCTTTAAACGGGATGATCCTTTAGATTGGCAGGCTGGCTTGGTTGCCAAGCAAAACAAAACAAAAAAAAAACGGTAAACCAAACAAAATTGCGGAGCGAATTCTCCTTTGAAGCCTTGCCAAAAAGTTTGTACGAATTCACTCGCGTCGCGACGCCAAGTTTTTCTAAGGCAAACGTGAGATCTTAAGATTTGCGGGATATCTTAAATCCGTTTTAAAATTTAAAACTTGATTATTTTCCCGGTATTCTTTCCGTTTTTAATTTTCTTTTTTGATTTAAACGAAAACGAGCCGAGCTCGGGCAACAGTACAAAGTTTTGTAGAGCTGCGGACGATAGTGCTGGTCAAACCACTCACGACATTATCGATATTTCCCAACTGGCGTGACCGTTCGACTATCGATGAAGGGTTCTCGATAGCGATGGTGCCCATAAGATGTATTTCTCCATCCCTGCGTGCGGGTATTTCAAAATAAATATTTGTATGTGTCATATTTTACCTTATGAAGTAGATTTTATAGTTGAACTTGAATTTAAATACTCCGATACATATTAATATTATGTTTATTTCAATATGGGAGTTTAAGAGCAGGTGTTTAGTTTCTTATTAAATTTGTTTCTCCTAAACGATATGACTGAAGCCTTTTATTTAACTATACCATCGTTCTGTCTATATGGCCGGGTTTTTTATTTATCGATATTTGCTCACATCTGCGCTGCTCTGGCCGATAGAATTAACTTGCAGCCCTGACAGCTGGCGCTCACCTGAAAGAAGTTTTGTTGGTAGCAAAGTCGTATAAAAATATCGAACGACAGGGATTTTTATATTCCCCGAAAAGGGATCCAATGCAAATTCAACCTGTTAATTAATTAAATTAACCTAAAAGCACCGCTAGGCGATAGGCGGAGCGAAACATCGATAGGCACCCTATCGCTCGCATTGCCATCACCAGCCCTTTTCGGTGTTATCGCAATCCGTTTACTCGTGGCGAAATTTCGCGTTTCGTATTTTCCCCGTAATCTGCCAATTCGCATCGCAAATCAGAGTAAGTGCACTGTAATTGACGCCCCCAGCCGCACCCTCTGACCTAACATTTGAATCCTTGCAGATGCCGGGCGTTGAAACGATCAAATCCTCCTGGGCGGATGAGGTGGAGCTGGACTACGGCGGCCTGCCGCCGACAACGGAGACCTTGGAGAACGGCCACAAGTATGTGACGGAGTACAAGTACAACAAGGACGACAAGAAGACCAAGGTGGTGCGCACCTACAAGATCTCCAAGCAGGTGGTGCCCAAAACGGTGGCCAAGCGCCGCACCTGGACCAAGTTCGGCGAGTCGAAGAACGACAAGCCCGGTCCCAACTCTCAGACGACCATGGTGTCCGAGGAGATCATAATGCAGTTCCTCAACTCCAAGGAAGACGAGAAGGCCAACGATCCGCTGCTGGATCCCACAAAGAACATCGCAAAATGCCGCATCTGCAACGGCGAGCATTGGTCGGTCAACTGCCCGTACAAGGGCACCGCCATGGACACCAATCTCATGGAGAAGAAGGCTTCCGCTGCGGCGGCTGCTGCCGTTGATGCGCCCAAGTCCGGAAAGTATGTGCCGCCGTTCCTCAAGGACAGTCAAAAGGGCGGCATGGGAATGCGCGGACGCGATGATACGGCAGCCATTCGGATTTCCAACCTGTCGGAGTCGATGACTGAGGCGGATCTGGAGGAGCTGGTAAAGAAGATCGGGCCGCAAAGCAAAATGTACCTGGCCCGCGACAAGAACACCGGCCTCTGCAAGGGCTTCGCCTATGTGCACTTTAAGCAGCGGAAGGACGCCGCGGCCGCCATCGAGATCCTCAACGGCCATGGTTACGATCACTTGATCCTCAGCGTCGAATGGTCCAAGCCGCAGAACAATTAGTCGGTTAGTTCCGTTCAGCCTTCTCCGCCGCCCCCTACCCGCGTCTACTGCTTATAGAGAGGAGTTCGTACGGATGAATCACACAAAATATGTCCCTATGCTATAAGTTTGCTACAAATAAATCTTAAAAACAAAAGCCCCCGCCGGGGGCACCGAAAAACACACAAGCTGACTATGGCGGTACGTGGTTTTATCCTTAAAATGTTTAACTTTTGTATTTAGCCTTTATATACTATTGTAGCAAAATTTAGTAGGTTAAATATTCTGTGCACGATGTCGGCTATATGCCGTACTCTTCACTTTCAGGAATTATTGCCGTCTCTTTCGTTTTAAATATTAACAACGGATTGAGTCATAGAATCGAAGGCTTAAAAATGTAAACTTTAAATATGATAATTTCATTGTTCTGAATTTAAAACTCTAAAATGCAATTAAAGAACGGTGCAGTCGCATTCAGTTCCCATTACGCCAATCTCAACTTCGAAATTCTCGTTCCCACCAGGAACGCACAGCATTCAGCAAGCAGCCGAACGCCTGACTAAATCATGGGAGGGGAAATATCCTGGAAAGTGATAGAGACCCGTTATAAGCAGAGACAAATTTAACCCTATACTGCAGGTGCATAGAAATAATTGAGCAAAATATTTGTTCTATGTAAATATTTATATACCTAGGTAAAATAAACAGTAGGCGTGGTTCGGCGGATAAAGATGATTGCTCGCAAAGGTTTAACATAAATTAATTACTTAGCGTATGTGCCGTTTTATGACAACAAAATATTATTTTAATTGAACGGCCATATATCGCCTCGTATGCGGTAGAGGGTTAACAGCAGACGAATTCAGATCAATTTAACCCTATACTGCAGGTGTGTAGATATAATTTTGCACAATATTTATTGTAAGTAAATATGTATTTATTCAGGTCAAATTAACAGTAGGCGTGGTTTGGCGGATCAAGATGAGGGCTTACAAAGGTTTAACATAAATTAATAGCTTAGCGTATATGCCGTTTTATGAGAATAAAATTATATTGAAAATGAACGGCCATATATCGCCTTGTATGCGGTAGAGGGTTAAGCAAGTAGCCTAATGCACTGGAAATTGAGAAGAGAGAGTGAGAAGAGGGAGAGAAGATCCGTTATTAGCAGGCATGTTCTGCTGCTGGGTTGCTGCCTGCTGTTTATGTTTGCCTGGTGTACAGTCGTCTTACGATGGTTGAATTTATTAAGCTAAAGCGCACATTAGAAACAGAAAATAACAAATACAACAACAATTACGCCCCAAATTATCGAAATTCGACTAACAAATTTGTTCAAACACGATATTTTTACACTAGGAACGCACAACATTTAGCAAGCAGCCAAACGCCTGACTTAATCATGGGAGGGGAAATATCCTGGAAAGTGATAGAAATCCGTTATAAACTACGAGCAATTTAACCCTACACTGCAAGTGCATGAAAATAACTGAGCAAAATATTTGTTGTATCTAAATATGTATTTATTTAGGTAAAATTAATAGTAGGCGTGGTTCGGCGGATAAAGATGATTGCTTCCAAAGGCTTAACATAAATTAATAGCTTAGCGTATCTGCCGTTTTATGAGAATAAAATATTATTTAAAATGAACGGCCATATATCGCCTCGTATGCGGTAGAGGGTTAACAGCAGACGAATTCAGATCAATTTAACCCTATACTGCAGGTGTGTAGGTGTAATTGCAAAAAATATTTCATGCATGTAAATATGTATTTATTTAGGTCAAATTAATAGTAGGCGTGGTTTGGCGGATAAAGATAATGGCTTCCAAAGGTTTTTCATAAATTAATAGCTAAGCGTAAGTGCCGTTTTATGACAACAAAATATTATTAAAAATGGACGGCCATATATGCCCTTGTATGCGGTAGAGGGTTAAGCAATTTGCCTAGTGCACTGGAAATTGATTTGGAAGGGAGAAAAGATCCGTTATTAGCAGACTTGTTCTGCTGTTGGGTTGCTGCCTGCTGTTTATGTTTGCCTGGTATCAGAAGGCAGTCAATATGCTTAATTTAAGAGCTGCTCATGCATTTTCAGCGGTCCTGGGGCAATTTTTACTAACTGATATTATAAATATCGTGTGCGATTTAATAAAAATGTTTTAAATTTATCCAAATAGAGTGAATGCCATAGGAGAAAACTGTAAGCTTATATAAGAGCTTAGGGATACCATTATTCTTTTTTATTTAAGATAAATTTTAATAAATAAACATTTTTAAATTGACCGCCTACGTTGGCAGCCCTGCCCATTTGTATGAATATCGCAGGCCTGGCAACTCTGACACCAAATAAAAACAGAAACCGTGTGTTCTGTTTTTGTTGTTGTTTTGCATTTCGTGTTTTTTCTGTGTGTGTTTGTGGTTTGGTCAAGCGATTTGCGTAAATTGTGTTTGTTTTCCTATTCGGTGGCTAAAAATAGAAAAAGTAGATGCCGCAAAATATTCAAAAGCGTTTGAAACAATATTTTTGAGCTTCAGGTGTGCGCTCATTTCAGTCGCCCGTGTGACGGGCCCCAGGCGAAAGTCCGGTAGCCCAAAGAGGGAGGAATAGCAACGGAATGGAGAAGCGTCACATGCCCATGGCCAGCAGCTCATCTTCGAAGGCGGCAAAGAGTCCTGCTGTCCCGCAGATTAAGCGTGGACAGCGGATCCTCACCGAGAAGCCATTCGCCTTTGTGTTGAAGTCCAAGTATCGTCTGGAGCGATGCGACAACTGCCTGGAGGCGTAAGTTCGGCCAGTCCGCAAGTTTCTGACACGTTTCAAGCTTCTCTATCTTCCTCGCAGGACCAAGGTGCTCAAGTGCTCCAACTGTCGCTATGTGTCATACTGCAACCGGGCCTGCCAGTCACAGGCTTGGGGTCAGCACAAGCACGAGTGTCCATTTCTGAAGAAAGTCCATCCTCGTATTGTGCCCGATGCCGCTCGCATGCTGTGCCGCCTGATCCTGCGTCTGGAGCATGGCGGCGATCTCATCCGGGGCTACTACACGGAGCATGGTTCTCGCAAGTTCCGGGACCTGATGTCGCGTGAGTAGACCGAACGAGACGCACGATTCCCCCAGATAACATCCTCCTCTTTCTATCATTCCAGATTATGCCGAGATCAAGAATGATCCGATGCGGCTGGAGCACTTGGACTCGCTGCACGCCGTTCTCGAGGACATGATGGCCGAGAGTCCCAGCACGGTGCCAAACAAGACGGAACTGATGAGCATCTACGGTCGAGTAAGTGGCAAGACACCTGTGCACGCGCAGGCACGGTCAGGAGCGGACTTTCGGTGGAAGCATAGATGTACAAGTCACATACGTATGCCCTGCAGCCGCTCCTGATCGCCCAAATTGGATAGCAATCAATGCCTCTCCTCTGTCGCTCTGGCGTTCTGCCAGGCAACGAAGATGGGCTATACGGTTCACATTCTCCGACAGCTGTTGCGCACAGTATGTCCCCCTTCTCATTTCCTCTCCTTCCTTGCAGCTAATCACCAACGGATTCAACGTGTTGGACGCCGAGATGAACTCCATTGCCACGGCCATCTACTTGGGCGTCTCCATCACGGATCACAGCTGCCAGCCGAATGCGGTGGCCACCTTCGAGGGCAGCGAGCTGCATGTCCATGCCATCGAGGATATGGAGTGTCTGGACTGGTCCAAGATCTTCATTAGCTACATCGATCTGCTCAACACGCCTGAGCAGCGGCGGCAGGACCTCAAGGACCACTACTACTTCCTCTGCGTGTGCAGCAAGTGCACGGATGCGAAGGAGTCCCGCGAAATGACGGCAGCCCTTTGTCCAAATCGCAACTGTGGTGTCGGCATCAATGTGGAGCGCACGAACTGCCAGCGTTGCGATGCAGGCATCAGTCCCAAGTTGAGGAACGCCTACAACGAGGCAATGGCCCTCACCCGGCACAATCTGGAGTCCATGAAGGATGTGGCCTGTGAGTGTACAAGAACTAGTTATCAAAGAATGTAATTAACCATCTCAAATCTCCTCCAGACTTCGATGTTTGCAAGGTGTGTCTGAATAAACAGACGGGCGTGCTTCATCCCCTGAATGTGTGGCACGTCAAGACTCTGGATGCTGCCTTTGAGGCTGCCATTGATGTGGGCAAGTGGACAGATGCCTTGGACTACGGCCAGCGCCTTCTGCCCGGCTTCCTGAAGTATCATGGGGCCTGGAATCCGCTGCTGGGCCTGTTGCACATGAAGCTGGGCAAAATCCAGCTATACGAGCAGCACGCCAAGGAGGCCCGTCATCATCTGGAGGAGGCGCAGCGCATTCTGACCGTCACCCATGGCCGCGACCATCGACTGCTGTCGGAACAGCTGTATCCGCTCCTCCTTCAAGCTCGACACGAGGCTAATAACTAATTGGGACGACAAGCCGTGCATTCACGCCTTTGGAGTCGCCCGTAAAGATGTGTTCTATTTGGCATTGATGCCACGTTGTGGTAAACCTGTATATTCATATATTCTCGGCTAATAAAAGTAGTAATAATATTTACAAAATATATGGGAAATCCTTTACATACTAATTGCTACCTACATCCCTAGCTGTGCGTCTAGGAGATCTTTGCCATTGCCTGAACTCGGCGGCTTGTGTCCTGGAACAGCGCCCTAATAAGGTGACGAACCTCGTCCGACTTGTAATTGGCGGTCAACGGTCCGGCGCCGTTGCACCATAGCTCCGTGATCTCCTTCAGCGAGGCGTTCATGATGGTCTTCAGCTGCTGCAGCTTCATCCATAGACTTACCTGCAGCACTTCGTGCGGCTCGGGGAAGAGGGTCGGTCCACGCTCCAGGACAACATCGATTAGATCGCTCAGCTCTGTGGCCATGGTGGCGGATATGTCGCGCAGCGTAAACACACGTTGTATGAGCTCCGCGGCTAAGGCATTGATAAGTTCACAAAAGGTGGCATTGTACACCGTCTCCGGCAGCACATTAGCCCACACATTCTTAAGCAGATCCAGCTGCCGCAGACACTGACGCACCATTTTCAGGGGGCCCGTGCCCAGGGTGTGCTGGCTTTGGAACTCAAAGCCGTCCATGATCTCTTTTAAAATGGAGATCTGGTAGTCGATCTGCACCCTCAAGTAACGCTGACCGGTGGCCTGCAGTGACTTGGTCAGCGCCGGCAGACTCTTGAAGTCCCTGTTGGCCTGCTGCGCCACCCAGTGGGTAAGGAACATGCAGTTGTTGTGGAACAGCGCCGATTGCTGTGGAATGCTTTCGAGCAGCTTGCGATGCACCAGCGGCACCTGGTCGATGTATGTCTGGAGCAGGCTGGCGTTGATATCACACAGCGGATTGCCGCTCTCGGACTCCACATTAACGTTCTGACGCAATATGCGCTCCATCAGCTTGACATAGTCCTGCAGGGGAAAGGAAAATTAGAAGGGGAATAAAGAAATGCCTCAAAATGCAAATCCAAAAGGTATCAATTGCCACGCACTTACCTGTGCACTCTTGGAGATCATGCAGCGGGGAAAGAGCAGGGGATTGGCGGCCACTTCGGTGGGACCATTGTTAGGCGCCACCAGCATCATGTCCTGCAGGTCGCGCTGAACGATGTCGCGCGCAGTCTCCAGAACGCGACGAAGCAGGCGATTTCGATAGTAGGTCGGGTACTTCTCCACAAACAGGGCCAGGGCACGATCCTGAGCAGGATAAATCAGGTAGACGTCGGCCAGAAACTGCTCAAAGTTGGTGACATCCTCACACAGCGTGGACGACTGATACTCCTCCATGGTCTCGGGCACGGCCGCCTTAAGGCACTCGTCCACCAGCAGCTTCAGCATCCTATCCTTCACATGTTCCCCAATGATACCGAACACATGCTGGTCGCTGGACACACTGATGTTGATGCCGCCCAGCGTTTGGAACAGCAGCCGAAAATGGGCTAGGACGTCTTTGTAGTTTGGACGCAGCTGGGTTGCGCTTGGCTCCTTGGTGGAGTAGGAGAGTGACAACTGGTCGTGGCCCTGGCCCTCGGTGGCCTCGGTATACTCGACCATTACCGGTCGCAGGATGAGCGGCTCTATGCAGTTCTCCAGCAGGAAATCACAAAGGCGGTTGGGGCTGTAGCGCTTCTGGAAGACCGCCTGCACGATGTCCTGGAGCTGGGCCTCGTCTCGGCTGACCTGCAGTGTGACACAGCGCGAGGTTGGGAAGGATTTGCACTGCAGCTGGACCAGTCGATCGAAGCGCTCCTGCAGATTCTGCTGCAGCAAATGGGCCTGCACGAGATACTTGACCTTCATGGTGCCGTAGCATTCGAGCTCCTGGAATATGCGCCGAACCTCGGGTGCTAATGTCGTTGCCGCTGGCGCTTTGGCAGCATCAGGCTCGTCGCCGTAGATGAGCCCCCGCAGGCGATTGAGCAGATCCTGGAGAAGCATGTAATCGTTGCAGCTTTTGGCATCCTCCATCGAGTGAAATACCTCGTCCACCTTCAGGATGTGGTCGCTGACCTCCAGGCCCAGTAGGATCTCGCGGAGCTGGCGTCTACTGGCCGCCATCTTGGCATTCGCCTCATCCAGGGCCTCTAATCCCTCGCTGGCGCCCTTGTCCAGCAGATCGTCAACCTCACGCTTCAGCGAGCCAATCTGATCGAGGAAGACTCCCGGCGTGGTGTGGTTGGGCATAAACTCTGTGTAGTTGTCGTCGATGTGTCGCCGGACGTTCACCTGGAAGCGTTCGGTGCGCGTCAGCACATCCAAGATTGTAGATTTGGTGGCGTCCACGACTGCGAACCCGTTGCCGTAGCCGAGGCTGTTCTGCAGCTGCTTTATGTCGTTCATTGTTGCTCTCAACCGTATTCAAAGTCGGGCAGAATGGCAATTAGTAGACAAATCTTTAGAAATAAACGACAAATAAATTTACAATCTTTCAAAACCAACAATAATACCGATAGCACCGATAGCATAGTGGTGACACCGTGCATGGGCATTATATGAAATACCGCGTTGCCAGATCGCGGTGACAATCAGCAGAACTATCGTATGTAAACAGTGATCCGTGTTCTTCTTGTGTTGCTGAACGCAACAATTTTTAATGCACAACTTTTTAAATAATTCGTATTACTAATATTAAAGTATTATAAAAGACGTCAGAAGGTTTACAAATATTAGAAATTATAAATATAACAATAATAATTCCGCTTTCAATTAAAAGTCAAAACGATTATGCGTTGGGTGTTTGCTATACGACTTTAGGTTTAGTTTTCTAAAAATATGGACTATATATATATTCAAATTTATTTAGTATTTAAAATTTAAGAAACAAGTTCTACCTTTATTATTAATTTGAACAATCTCTTAATATTTTGAACTGTACCGATAATTTATCAATTAAAAATCTTGTTAATAAAATAATAATAAACAGAATATAAAAAGATATATTTATCGACATTATACGGGCGAAAATGAATCCTCTACTGCGTTGCAAAATTATTGTCTAAATTACAATAAAAATAAAAATAGAATACCCTTCACAGTAAACATATATGTAAATATACACTTTACTTTACTTATTCAATAATCTCAAACTATGGGATGTAAAAATATCGATGCATCGATTTTTCTCCACCGCAACCGATAACCCATATCGGTACCTCTACAATTGCCCGCGCTGACATCCAGTCACACTGAGGAGGCCAACATTTTTCAATTTTGGCCACTAATTGCAAAAGCTTAAAGGAGTTGAGCTGTGATCGTTGTTCGGGCTTCGTGTATAGCTTGATTGGTAGTTTCTATTGAAGGTGGAAACGTTCGGTGCGCGTCAGCACATCCAAGATCGTAGACTTGGTGGCGTCCACGACTGCGAACCCGTTGCCGTAGCCGGCGCTGTTCTTCAGCTGCTTTATGTCGATCATTGTTGCTCTCAACCGTATTCAAAGTCGGGCAGAATGGCAATTAGTAGACAAATCTTTAGAAATAAACGACAAATAAATTAACAATCTTTCAAAACCAACAATAATATCGATAGCACCGATAGCATAGTGGTGACACCGTGCATGGGCATTATATGAAATACCGCGTTGCCAGATCGCTCGGTGACAATCAACAGAACTATCGTATGAAAACAGTGATCCTTGTTCATCTTGTGTTGCTGAACGCAACCATTTTTAATGCTCAACTTTTTAAATAATTCGTATTACTAATATTTAAGTATTATAAAGGAAATCAGAAGGTTTACAAGTATTAAGAATTATAAATATAACAATAATAATTCCGCCTTCAATTAAAAGTCAAAACAATTATGCGTTGGGTGTTTGCTATACGACTTCAGGTTTAGATTTCTTTAAATATGGACGATATATATATTCAAATTTATTTAGTATTTAAAATTTAAAAGACAAGTTCTACCTTTATTATTCATTTGACTTATCTTTTAATATTTTGAACTGTACCGATAATAAAATAATAATAAACAAAATATAAAAAGAAATGGTTATCGACATTATACTGGAGCAAATGATTCCTCTACTGCGTTGCAAAATGATTGTCTAAATTATAATAAAAATATAAAATAGAATACCCTTCACAGTAAAAATATATGTAAATATACACTTTACTTTACTTATTCAATAATCTCAAAATATGGGATGTAAAAATATCGATGCATCGATTTTTCTCCACCGCAACCGATAACCCATATCGGTACCTCTACAATTGCCCGCGCTGACATCCACACACACACTGAGGAGGCCACCATTTTTCAATTTTGGCCACTAATTGCAAAAGCTTAAAGGAGTTGAGCTGTGATCGTTGTTCGGGCTTCGTGTATAGCTTGATTGGTAGTTTCTATTGAAGGTGGAAGCGTTCGGTGCGCGTCAGCACATCCAAGATCGTAGACTTGGTGGCGTCCACGACTGCGAACCCGTTGCCGTAGCCGGCGCTGTTCTTCAGCTGCTTTATGTCGATCATTGTTGCTCTCAACCGTATTCAAAGTCGGGCAGAATGGCAATTAGTAGACAAATCTTTAGAAATAAACGACAAATAAATTAACAATCTTTCAAAACCAACAATAATATCGATAGCACCGATAGCATAGTGGTGACACCGTGCATGGGCATTATATGAAATACCGCGTTGCCAGATCGCTCGGTGACAATCAACAGAACTATCGTAAGAAAACAGTGATCCTTGTTCATCTTGTGTTGCTGAACGCAATCATTTTTAATGCTCAACTTTTTAAATAATTCGTATTACTAATATTTAAGTATTATAAAGGAAATCAGAAGGTTTACAAGTATTAAGAATTATAAATATAACAATAATAATTCCGCCTTCAATTAAAAGTCAAAACAATTATGCGTTGGGTGTTTGCTATACGACTTCAGGTTTAGATTTCTTTAAATATGGACGATATATATATTCAAATTTATTTAGTATTTAAAATTTAAAAGACAAGTTCTACCTTTATTATTCATTTGACTTATCTTTTAATATTTTGAACTGTACCGATAATAAAATAATAATAAACAAAATATAAAAAGAAATGGTTATCGACATTATACTGGAGCAAATGATTCCTCTACTGCGTTGCAAAATGATTGTCTAAATTATAATAAAAATATAAAATAGAATACCCTTCACAGTAAAAATATATGTAAATATACACTTTACTTTACTTATTCAATAATCTCAAAATATGGGATGTAAAAATATCGATGCATCGATTTTTCTCCACCGCAACCGATAACCCATATCGGTACCTCTACAATTGCCCGCGCTGACATCCACACACACACTGAGGAGGCCACCATTTTTCAATTTTGGCCACTAATTGCAAAAGCTTAAAGGAGTTGAGCTGTGATCGTTGTTCGGGCTTCGTGTATAGCTTGATTGGTAGTTTCTATTGAAGGTGGAAGCGTTCGGTGCGCGTCAGCACATCCAAGATCGTAGACTTGGTGGCGTCCACGACTGCGAACCCGTTGCCGTAGCCGGCGCTGTTCTTCAGCTGCTTTATGTCGATCATTGTTGCTCTCAACCGTATTCAAAGTCGGGCAGAATGGCAATTAGTAGACAAATCTTTAGAAATAAACGACAAATAAATTAACAATCTTTCAAAACCAACAATAATATCGATAGCACCGATAGCATAGTGGTGACACCGTGCATGGGCATTATATGAAATACCGCGTTGCCAGATCGCTCGGTGACAATCAACAGAACTATCGTATGAAAACAGTGATCCTTGTTCATCTTGTGTTGCTGAACGCAACCATTTTTAATGCTCAACTTTTTAAATAATTCGTATTACTAATATTTAAGTATTATAAAGGAAATCAGAAGGTTTACAAGTATTAAGAATTATAAATATAACAATAATAATTCCGCCTTCAATTAAAAGTCAAAACAATTATGCGTTGGGTGTTTGCTATACGACTTCAGGTTTAGATTTCTTTAAATATGGACGATATATATATTCAAATTTATTTAGTATTTAAAATTTAAAAGACAAGTTCTACCTTTATTATTCATTTGACTTATCTTTTAATATTTTGAACTGTACCGATAATAAAATAATAATAAACAAAATATATAAAGAAATAGTTATCGACATTATACTGGAGCAAATGATTCCTCTACTGCGTTGCAAAATGATTGTCTAAATTATAATAAAAATATAAAATAGAATACCCTTCACAGTAAAAATATATGTAAATATACACTTTACTTTACTTATTCAATAATCTCAAAATATGGGATGTAAAAATATCGATGCATCGATTTTTCTCCACCGCAACCGATAACCCATATCGGTACCTCTACAATTGCCCGCGCTGACATCCAGTCACACTGAGGAGGCCAACATTTTTCAATTTTGGCCACTAATTGCAAAAGCTTAAAGGAGTTGAGCTGTGATCGTTGTTCGGGCTTCGTGTATTAGCGTGATTGACAGTTTCTATTGAAGGTGAATCTCCCCTTTTCATATTTTCTCTTGTCTGTATCCGAGAAAGAGAATCTCGTCGGCCATGCAGAAATTAATGTAAACAAATTTTTGTTTACTCCGAATCTTGATTCAAAATTTTTCTGAAGAGTCATCAATTTTTCCCGTAAATCTTGTGACTAAGCTGATAAATATGCCTAAGCCGAATAAAAAGAAAAACAAGAATAAAACCACGCCCTCCCGCCCTGCGGAGGCGAAGCCCGAGGAAGTGCGCTTTGAGGATCTCGGTAGCGATACAGACTCTGACGACTGCATGCCCGAACTGGAGGACATTGTAGAAGGATTCATGAACCACCTGGGAGGCGGTGACACCTGTCAGCCCATCAAGGTGTGTTCCAAAGCGAAGCAGGCGCGCGGCGAGCAGAAGGCCAGGAAGATCATTCTTAAGCTCGGCCTCAAGCAGATCCCGGACGTCCACCGTGTGACCATACGCAAGTCGAAGAACATTCTGTTCGTGATCAACAACCCGGATGTGTACAAGAATCCACTAACCGACACCTATATCGTCTTCGGAGAGGCCAAAGTCGAGGATCCGACCAAGAAGCACAAGTTGACCCCCGAAAAGTTCTGGGCCTCCATGAAAAGTTTTGGTATCAAGAGCAAGGACTCCAACACCTCGATTGGTTCCTTCGATGAGAACGAGGAGATAGACGCCACTGGCATCGATGAGAACGAGGAGATAGACGCCACTGGCATCGATGAGGAGGACATTAAGCTTGTGATAACGCATGCGAATACGACTCGCCCAAGGGCCATTATGGCCCTAAAGAACAACAACGACATAGTCGACGCCATCATGGAGCTGACCTACAGATCCTAAATCTATGCATGCCCCATCTGGGCAGCAAGTATCACAAACTTACACAAAACATTTTAATGTACTTCACTGAATTATTATTGGATCTTAATAAAGGCGGACTTAAGCTGTTATATATGTATACCATATTGTTTTAATATTTTAATTTAATAATTACTAGACACTTTAAGCTTTTACCCAAAAGAAGTAATACATTTTCCGTCATGATTACGAGTGAGACAGACTTATATTGTATGCAGTGCATTCCCACCGCTTTAGAAAATAACACTTGATTTGATTTTCGACATTTTATTATTGTTTTTGTATTTGGTTCTTTTTTCATAACAGTTTAATGTGTTTGTGTGTGTGTGTGTGTGTAGTGTATTTTTGGGCGACATCCTTTTCGCCGTTTTGGGATTTACGAGGTGATAGCAATGCAAGTGTTTTGCACTTTTTGTTTGGGGGTGGTGGGCATGGTGTGGTTCTCAAAGCACCAATAACAGTCAAACAGAAAGACGGACAATACAAAAAAAAGAGGGAATTGTAACAAAAACAATACATAAATAAAACATAGAGTTCAGTACGAAATTAAAGAACAGAGAAATTCGACAGTCGAGGTCTCCTCTCCTCTTTCACAAATCACAATTATTCAAGCACACTCAAGGAGTGCAGCGGAATAATTGCAATAATTGCATCTTGGCTGTGATGGCGAGTGAGTTGTACTTCACTCACTCGCCATCACATCGATAATTTGCACAGGTAAGTACATTGGATTTCTTTTCTCATTTTGTTTTATCGTTTCTTTGCTTTTGGTGTGAATAATATTTTCAACAGATTATAAATTTACAATACATTAATGTACACGAGTTTTAAATAATAATAATATAGTAATAGTAATAATAAATCTACACAATATACATACAATATTCATATTCATATATAAATATAGCGCATTCTTCACTACAGACTATACAAAAAAATAATAATGAAAGTTACACTTAATGGAGAGTTCTTTTCCTTTCTGGTTTGTTTTGTTTCTAAATGTTGGATGTTTTCGTATTTCGTATTTATCGTTTGTTGTGGCTGTGGTGTGTGTTTGTTGTGTGTTGGTTTTCTTTTTGTGTGCGTGAGTAGTGCGTGCATTTTCATACATAGATCGATCTCGTCTCAACACATTTGTCTATAACATTTGTTCTTTCGGGCATTTCAGGCCCTCATCTTTTCTTATTTTCTTTGATTTCTTTTCCATTTTATAATTAATTATTTTCCTTACTTTTGTTTTTGGCAATATTATGAACGATGAGCGGATTTAGAACGAAACAACAATTAGATGCGCTAGTGGTGTGTGTGCAGAGAGTGTGGTGTGTGCGGCGTGTTTTTGGGGGGTGTGGTGGCGGTGTGGGTGAATCTTATGCTTAGGAAATGTACAAATAAAATAAATCAATCAGACGCGAGTGACGTGCAGGGCAACACACTGAAGAACCTGGCCAAAAATTGTGCGATTCCTTATTTTGTTTTCTCTTGTTTCATTTGGTTTGCTGAGGCTGAGGCGGCGGCGGCGGCAGGCGGCAGTCGGCGATATGATGATGACTCCATCTCTATATCTCTCCATCTCCTCAATTACTTAGACAGTCTCCAGTACGCGCACATCCTTCTGTACCACATAGAACTTGTGCTTCTTGCCAACCAGTCCCCAAATGACGGCCACATTCTCAATGACCACATTCACGGGTATCGTGCACACGGCACCCAGCACGCAGGCCAGGAACCGGATGAATCCAAAGCGGTACAGCGAGAAGGACTTAATAACTCCGAACACATACATGTAGATATTGATGGCCGCTATGAAGGCGCACACAAAGTCCACGAGATTGGGACACGGGATGGGATACAGAGCGGCAAATATGATGTTTGACGTGGACAGGGGCATGGTGACCCACGAGTAGACACTGATGCCCAGCAGCAGCTTGTGCTTGAGCGGTATCATCTTGGAGTGGACCACCAGCAGGATGCCCTGGAGCCAGCGTTTGCGTTGCTGCAGAAAGTCCAGCAGTGTGAACGGTGACTTCTCGTACATCTCGCCCTCGATGAAGTTGAACGTATAGCCCTGGCTAAAGGCACGCATTGCAAAGAAGCAGTCCTCGGCCACGGAGCCATCGATGCCGTTGTCAAAGGACACCGAACGCTCGGCACCGACCTGGGGGAAAATAGATAATTAATAAATGTTTATACATCTCATCAGAATGTTTGTTATTCGGCAAAGTGAGTCTAAAGAAGAGAAACGAATTACGCATTTTACTATTAACAAGAATATGGAACAAAACTCACAAGAAAAAGAGTATTAACTACAACAATTCATAATAAATAAACATTATCTAGTCTCTGGCTTAAAGCCGCAAAGTTAAACATAGATTTTACCAAGAAATATATGTACAAGTTTATGAGCTCGTTGCTCGTTTCTCTTCAGCGACTTAGTTGCTGTCATAACGAAAGGTGATAGGCAAGGTGCGCTGGCTCATTAGGGAAATACCCACCTGGGTGACTACATAGCTACCCTTCCAGCTGAAGAGGGGCTTGTGGAAGAGCTTGAACTGCAGACGCAGCTTGCCCATATCGTCCGACACCCGAAAGCTGTCCGCCAGAGTGGTCAGCCAATTGACCACATTCTCGTTGGCGTACGTGATCAGGCCCTGGCCAAACGGATGCTTGCCATCCAGGACGAAATTGATAATGCCCCGGACCGAGTTCTCGGTGAGCAGCGTCTCCTCATCCAAATGGACAATCCAATCGCTGTCGTTCAGCACATTCACCGTGTCCTCGAGACAGTATTGCAAGGCCCTCGACTTGAATAACGCTCCGGTTCGTGTCTTATACTCCTTGGGCACAACAATCTCACGGATGCGACGATGCTGCGATAGATTCACCGCCTTATCGGTGACCACCTCAATGAGAAAGTTCTCCAATCCAGTGTCCAGGCAGGTGTTCATATTCCTCAGCACATTTGTCTTTACCAAATCGGGGAAGTCGCCGCGCGTGACCACACGGATGCAGATGAAGGGCGCCAATAGGGGGCTGCCCTTGAGGACGACCTTCTCGGGAAAGGCGTTGTAGAAGACGAGGCCGCAGAAGTTGAACAACACCTGCGGCAGCGTGAGGAGCGTGAGAAAGCGCAGTAAGTACAGCAGAACGGTGGCCACCTGGCCGTACTCAGTCCATGGATCGACGATCGTGAACGAGTTCTCGTCGATCTTAATACCGCCGGAGAATACTTCGAAGGTAACTATCACAGTGATGAGCAGTGTGCAGTGCAGCAGGTGCTTTGTGGTGGAGTTCATCCTGATTGCGGGTGTGTGTATGTTGTGTGTGGTGTGTAGTGTGATGTTTTAATTATTTAAAATATATATATGTATATATATATATATTAAATGGCTATAGTCCAAGCGATTCCTTCCTTAAGTAGACTTGTGCTGCGACAGATCCGTCTGGCCCGCGTATTTTGTTCGTTCGTTCCGGATGACTGGATGATTGAATGATGACTGGATGAGTCTTGTTGCTTGGTTGCTATCTCCTAGTGGCTTCGTAATGGTTTTCCTTATGTTTTTTATATATATTTTGTTTTGTTTTGGTTTGGTTTGGTTTGTGCTTAAAAAACGAAACGAAACGGACCGGAAGTTAACCCAGTCACCGGCCTGATAAGTGCACGGGATCCTCTATCAGCTCCTGGGGCGATTCCGCAGCAACTTTCACTTCAGCTATTGGTGGACTTGGATACTCCCGCTGGCGTTGCCTTGCTTGCATTTGAGACTCTCAGCTCTGGTTCCTGGTCAGACATTTCTGCGAAAACAAATGAAACAATGGAATTACTCATTTTGTACACAAATAAGTTAGTTCATTTGAGGAATTGCTTGATTTACACTTTTCCGCAGTTTTCTATGTGTGATTTTAAATGTTATATATTAAAGGAGAAGATTAAAACAAAAATAGTGGAAACAAAAAGATAAATTGGTCCGCAAAAGCACCGAGTTTTTCATTTTATTTTACGAAATGCTAACAAATATTATTTTAAATAGTTAAACAGATGTTCATACCATTACAGGGTATTATATTTTTAGTCAGAAGCTTGCAACACAGTGAATGAGTCATTTTCGACCCTATAAACCATATATATTCTTGATCAACATCAACAGGGAAATCTTTGGATTGGATTTACCCAAAAAATTAGAAAATAAAAATATCTGTTTAATATAGAATAAAAGTAATATATTTAGGGTTTTATTTTAAGGTCAAAAAGCCAATAATTGCCACAAGTCGTCATATAAATATAATTCTATTTGCAATCAAAATCTGAACCAATGAAGAATAAATAAGTTTGGAATGATTTAAAATGAAGTATTCTTCATTATTCATATTCATTCGTTTCTGTATAAAGAATCTCTACGAATCTCTTGGCTTAACAAGGAACCTATAGACATGGTTAAATTGACTCGGCTGGAGTTGTTTCTTGCAAAATGATATACAAGAGAGTTCTTACCTCTAAATTAATATTATATATAGTCAAACCTATTTAATCTAGTTATAATGATTCAAAATTCCTAGTCTACGATGCGTAATTTGGCATTAAAATTAAATTAGTCCCGAGTTAATTTTCCTAACCTTTTGATCCATATTTTTTGTGTGGCATTTCGTTCCATTGGATGATTAAATTAGAACTTGAACCACTGGTGACTGTGGACACCCATATGTAATGTTAATCATCATCATATCAGCATCGCGTGTCCGCCAGTCCGTAACTATATACCTATTGATCATATACATCATATAACCGCCAGTTGGTTGTTGCATAGTGCTCCCATATGAATTTTTCCCAAACAGATTCTTCCCGGGGCAACAACAATTACACTGACATATGGCCCCCGTATAATTGTGAAGCAATTGGAATAGTTCAAAGGCCAACGATGTGATTATAAAATGCCTCCTCTGCTCTCTCTCTTTTTTTTGTTCAATATTTGAATTCTAGCTCGACTCGCGTCGTCTGTCAATGATTAGTTTTTTGTTGAGTCGCAAGTTCAAGTATTTTTGGGTTGCCATACAGATAACATCCGCCGATCATTATAAATTATATTTATACACGGATACATCTAAATCTAAATCAATATCTAAGTTATATAAAATGTTTCCATACGGTTCTGCTTGGGCCTTTTATAATGACTAAGCGTGATGCGATTAGAAGTATTTAAAAAAAGAAAAATGAGCAAGCGGGGGAAATGAGCAATATACTTGGGGATACCAGGAAATGTTTAGATAAAATCAGGCAATGTTTCTGAATGACAGTTTCGAGTGCATTTCAGAGAGAGAGAGAGAGAAATCTAATTAGTGATAAGAGCGCCACTCTCTACCAATGGACTGGAGGCTATCAGCCCCATTAATCATCAATCATTAATCAATATATATCCCCAAAGACGTATGCATTATCCATTTCGCAATATTGACCATGATTGACACTTGCTTTCTTTCTTCATTCTTTTGGCAGCTGGAAATAAAAGCATTCCTACGTTCCAGACCCGTATTTATTATTTAATTGCTACAAGCTTATCAACTTTGAAAAATATGCTGTAGCAATCGGAGAACGCCGAAAGAATTCAACGGAAAAATCAAATAAACCTCAAGCTGCGTTTCGGCACAACAGAAAATAGAACTCAATCTCGTATAAACAAGTCAATTAATAAATAATACACTATACAGACGGTGGGTAATATAATACAGCACCCAGAAAGTGACAAATGTGCTGGTGTCAGCTGAATATTGGAGGAGCTGATATCTGGAAAGCAAAATGAATGCCGGGAAAGGAAAGGACAAGTTCAGGTTCACTGCTGAATACTGGAAAGGAAAGTGATGAATGCTGGTTCACTGCTGAATATGGGAAAGAATACTGGAAACGAAAGGGACAAATGCTGGTTCACTGCTGAATATTGGAAAAAAGGACAAAGGCAGTTTAACTGCTGAATATTGGAAGGAACTTTGGGTTCACTGCTGAATATTTGAAAGAACGGAGGACAAATGTAGGTTCACTCCTAAATACTGGAAGAAATTTTGTAAAGAGATCAATACAGGTCTCGAAATCGGAATATAATAACAATGAAAGTACAAAGGAATGATACATTTCCAATGTCTATTTATATACGTCGTGTGAATCACTTTCACGGCATTGGACTTGAGACTTGAGACCCGAGAAGATTGAGCTGACCAGGCAGACCAGACAGGAATGCCAGCAAAAATTTTCCATAAATTCCGGCGGGTGTGTTCCCAGTAGTTTACGGCTGGTTCATTCATTTAGATAGGCGCACCAGGAAAGGCTATAGAGTGTAGGGGAATTGATTATGGTGGTGAGAGTATAAAATGCGGGCCTATTGGGGCGTTTTCCACTGGAGAGGAGGAGGGCGGGAGACATAAAGATTACACACGCCCCATTAGCACCGCCCTCTTATCGATTTATCCGAGGGTCTCCTATTAACGGGAGGGGACCTAGGCAACCAGTAGGAACCCAAGTAACCAGGAGCACAGCCTGGAAACTCTCAAGAGGTGCCTGATAGCAGGGGTCCAAGTGACAATGCTTCGTAGATTGAAGTGGTGGGCTTTGCTCATGTGAGTGGTCCCTATATACAATATATAAACTATATATTTATAGTCCAACAAATGCCTTCAAGTGGCCATAGTAAATGCCTTGTCGGGGTTATTCGCAATAAACAATCGTACTCGTGTTTGTATCGAGCTTATCAAAGTTAAGACCTTAAGTTGTAATCGCAGTGTTTACACTTGTCGAAATATATGGGATATTTAGGGGATATCTTTAAGGGGTTTCAAGGAGATTCTAAAGCTGGGAGAACTGTTGTTTCTATATTGAATATCTAAGGAATAATGGCATATTTTTATACCTATTCTCCTTAGCCAACTTCCACCGTACTTGGCCCGCTTTTATTGGCCCCGATAAGAAGCTCTTCACCTGGAGAGTAAGCCATGCGGCTTGTGGAGTTACGTACGAGTATGTTTTATTTGCAATCGTCTTGTGATAAGCGGCGGCCTTCGACAAATGCGGAATCCTAGATACGCCCGACCGTTCCCTACGTCAGCACTCCTCTTATCCCGCAGCGCACCCTCGAATCTGAATCTGAGAATCCGATTCTGAAACCGAAACCCATCCGATACCATCCCAACCAGCTCACACAGAACAGCCGATGCCGATGCCGATGCCAATGCCAATGACTTCCCCTTGGTCTTAGCCTTATCATTCGAAGTGATCCGCAAGCGAGATTGCAAACAGCGAATGAATCACACCGGGGTTCAACGACAATTCCGGGCGTTACTCGATGACTCGGAGACTCAGACAGTCTGCCAGGCAGCCTCTGATGATAGCCCGTTCCTTTGCCTTTGCCTTTGCCTCTGAATCGGAATTTGATTTCAAATTCAAATGGGAATTTGAATCTGAAGCAGAAACCGAAACTGAAACCGTTGACGTTGGGGGCGTAATGAACTTGGACCGCCGGCGATAACCGGTCCGCTCTTATATAAACAGCAAATCGGACAGACTGCCTTCGGTGCAATAATTTCCACAATTGTCTAGTGCTTTGTTTGTTTTGTTTTCTATTTTGTTTTTTTCGCAACTAACTGCGAGAAAATGAAAATGAATGCAACGCTTCAGCGATTGCAGGGCAGTGCACAAAATCGAATACAGTGAATAATATGGGTTAGGAGACAAAGACAAGCAAATAAGAAAACAAAAAACAAAAATCGAAAGTGTAAACAGTACTTGAAAATGCCTTAATACTTGAATTAGTCATGAGCCTTGGTTTATTATTTACATATTATATTAAATGATTTTAATTTGTAATTATTTCAATGCGTGAAGCACCTTGATATTTTGGGTTTAGCTTCCTTTAGACCTTGTTAAGTAATTTCTGCGAATTATAAGTCATATTAAAAGTTAAAGTTACAGTTTTAATTAGCTTTACATTTAAAAAAAATATGTGTTCCTATATGAATTAGACATTTTGAGGGTTACAGCACCTTCATATTCGAATTATAATTTTATTAAGCATTTATAAAAATATTTTTCAATACTTTTTAGGCATTTTAGAGGTTGAAACTCTTTGATACTCTTTATACACTTACAGGGTATTATGATTTCAGTCAGAAGCCTAAAAGCCAGTGAAGGAATCGTTTGCGATCGTATAAATCGTATATATTCATGATAAGCATAAACAGCCTAATCTATCTGGCTATGTTTGGGAGGAAAAAAAATTTCGAAACATTTTTTAAGGGGTTATATTGTCAAAAATTGTCAAAAAATTTTACAAAAAAAAATTAATAATGTTAAATTGAGTATGCAGATTTATTAAACTAATAAAAACGAACACAGAACAGCTTTCCGAATAAAAATTGATGCATTTTTGGCTTAGCTATGAGGTTTTTGGGCTTCTGATTTATCGAAAAAATTGTAATATAAAAATACCGATAATTATCGATTCAAAGAAAGCAAATATTTCCCAATATTTTTTCAGAAATTTTACAGAATATCGTTTTTAAATCCCATTAAATTGGTAAGAATCATTGCTGTTGTAAAGTGATTATTGAAAGACGATTGCTCTTATCCGAAGTGCACTTATATTTCTCACTTGTAAAGGTCATTAAAGCGATGTTCCCTTTTGTTTTTTTGTTATATTTTTTTTGTTTTTCAGACGATAACTACTGTGGTGTGCACGATTCCATTGCTGATACTGGTTACTGGCTGTTTAATTGCCGCTGCGGCACATTGTTCCCGGGGACAATATATAATACGAGGGGCAACGCAATGTGAAGCTTCGAGTGCAGGTAAATCTAATCGCAGCCAGGTAATAGTTAGCAGCTTGTCGGATAGTGGCAAGTGAGCACCTGCCCTGAGTCACATACCAACGCACTTGGACACTGGAATCGAGGTACTTGGGGAAGCGTTTTCCATTAGTTCCAAGTTCCAAGTTAATAGTACCCGTTCTTATATGCCATATAGGCTTATTCTCACTATTTTTTCCCCACATTAACCAGAGTGGGGTTCGTCCATTAATTAGCACGTCTCCAGGTTGGCCTAGACGTCAATTAAAGGCACACAGAAAAAATAAACAAACTATTGAGATCTCAATATGACACAGACACCAAACAAAAAAATAACTATAACTTGAATATTATATAGTTTTTCCTTTTTAAATATTTTCAAAAATATTCTCTGAATATTAATTATTGTATGAAGTTGAAGGCTAAACTTTCAACTCAATATTATCAAAGTTGTCACAATAATAATAATATGGAAATGACAGAGAAACCCCTTTCGTTGATTGATAGGGGTTATATCCCATAAGAATATGGTTTTTACGTTCTGAAAACCCTAGGTGAATCATCACGTGCACCTTGTATTTCCATATTCATACCGAAACACTTTAATTTTATATGTATCTTTATTCCATGCGTTGCTCTTTTTTGTGCAGTGCACTCACATACACTGTCAATGTCAAAGTCCGTAGTTGTCACCGGCCGTGTGCTCTATGAATGGGAAATCCCCAGTTCACGGGGCTCGTTCCAGGTGTCATGAATTACAGGGCACTGTTTCGGGTTAGCTATCCCCCACTTCCTCCTCCCATCGAGCTCACCAGTCCATGTTGGTAGCGCCTTCGTAGTTTTGTTTTTATTTACTATTTCGTATATTTCGTATATTTTTGTTTAAACATATATTTTTCCCTTATTTCGTATATCGTATTATTTGTACGTTTCCGACACGACTCCCGATATTTCTTTCGATATTTATTCGCGTTTTCTGCTCTGATTTTCCTCTCGTACTTCGAGCTCCGAAGACGGTCGCCGGTACACTAAGCTCCCCGCCGTACAAATCGGACAGGTACACCTGCCCAGTACTCGGTAGTCGGTGCTCAGTGCTCGGTGCTTGGTGCTAGGTGCTCGGTACCCACTAGCCAGTCAGCCGGTATCCGGTGCGAGTACCGTACCCACCATTGGCACGGAGTTGCGCCTGTGTGTGCCCGTCATAATAATAAATTAAATACGTTATCAAGCGGAGAACGCAATCAGTGGAGGAGGGCACAACTCGAATTGGGAGAAGAACAGGCCCAATGGTTAGTGGTTGGTGCACCAAAAATAACCATCCGTCCAGCTATATCTATTACGTATTACCCAGAAGGGGTCTTATCACCCGGAAAACTAAAGGCTATTTGAGCACTGCTCAAAAAAACTAAACTGCGGAATTGATACTTCTTCAATTTGAACTCAATTTCCATACCAAAGGTGTGCTAAGCCCTAAAGTAATTATGATAAACACACAACAAATTGTTAAGATTTTTGCATTGTTTATAGCTGGTTTTAAGGCACTAAGCACTCCCTTATTTTGTACTATTCAAGGTGCTGTTCATATATGTTCATTTTTATCCCTTGTTCTATTAACTAGCTCCTACTTTAACTACAACCATCTTTCTGACAGTGTACTATCGCCCCCGATTACGTCTTAATCGTAGCGACCACTTCTTGAATCACTTGAATCACACGCCGAGTGCAGATAGTGAGTACATTGCGGGTATCGAGTCTCGCCCCGCACTCACAATACTGTTGAGTCTGTCACAAATGGGGGAGGTGACTAATTTGGAGCGTGTGCACTCGGCTCGGCTCCATAGTAATGGCATCGTAGGATAGCAGGCAGAGTTCTGTACCCGGGGCTACCAAGTACACTGGTTCTCCCAAAATGTCGTCATGGGTCAAATAGATAAGCATATGAGCTGAGCATTCCATAATGGTAGTTATAGATAGTGTTGTATAGTCAGTCAGCACACTGTGTTTGTCTTTTTCAGTGGCATTATGACAGTAGAGTGCGATAGCTTCGCTTCATTTCCATATAATACACCCAGATATCTGGCCCCCATATGAGGATTTATGAGCAATTAATGGATAAAAGTAGGTTATGGTGTTAGAATAAAGGATATACATTGAACACTAATTAGTTTTCCATTACTAAAGCTATTAAAACTAAGGAAAATGGGGTCTCTCTCTCTCACTAGCAGAGGAAATTTATACATTTCCTATCCTTAATTTGGTATTCCCTAATAAAAGGTGGTTTCAATCCAATTGATTAAAGTTAGCGGATTCAGAAAGTGTCTCAAAACACTTACTAATACCAATTATCAGGTAATAGTCTTTAGCTTTCTATATTCAAGGAGCTCGTAAACTTTGGGATATATGTATAAACTAAAACCATTTGTACAAAACTCGATGGATACGTGTACGGAATATTAAGGACAAGTTTTACGACTCTCAGAGTCGAGCTTCTGTGGGTCACTTTGCCCGACAATGACATCATAGGTCAAGCCAGAGGAGGATGGACACTCCATCCAGGCCGACTCCTGGATTACTAGGTGATAGTTTTTGGCTGTTCGTTAGCCTCATTATTATTGTTCCTGTCTTTTGTCCATTTCCCGGCCGTCTGTCTGTCTTTATGGGTGTGTTTGTGTGTGTCACGCGCCTCAGGTGAGAGCGAACTACACAGTAGTGGGCGGTGGGCGCTAGTTTCCCGAATCAGAGACGAAAGTCAGTTAGTTAGAGCGGGAGAGAAAAACGCTTATCGCAGTGGGTTGAGCAAACACCGGCATGTGTTTGTGCAGTGCCTATGTCTTTGTGTCTGTGCCGGTGTCTGGGGGCATTGATAAGCGCCGCCAGAGCACACAATCAGCAATCGTTAATTACCTAAATTTAAGCAAAAGTCGCCCTGTAAATGCACTGCCCCCTTGGATGAAATCAATGGAGGGGAATTAAGAGCTAGCTGGAGTAGACTATGGGACACCTGGTACCAAGAAGATTGATACTGGGAACACCTAGGGGTTATCTGTAAGCAAAGAACCCTTAGCTTAACCCCCACTGACAACTTTTCCCTAAATGCTTTTTGTTTATGTTGTTTAAATTGAGATAAACTCGAGTTAGCTATTAAAATTTTTGTTGACGATCTCAAGTCTCATTCATTCTTATCTGAATCAGCTTTTCACAAAGTGCAACGGCATCAACTGTATTTTGTTTTTTTCGTAAGAGTAGAATGCTAAATAAATGTTATTTTAAACTGTCGTTACTCTGAAAAAACAATCTTTGAGATTATTCCGCAGTATTATTTCGACTAATCGAAAAGGAGCGCTGAGAATAACAATTTTTCCAAAAAGAATACCGATCTTTTATGGCTAAAATAGTAATCAAGAATCAGATAATATATCCATGGAATTTCCTTTCCAATAATATTTCGCTTATATCTTTCTCAGACCGAAACGTAAGCAAAAACATGCATTAAGTAACGTAAATATTAGGGTTGGACAGGGTACAGATCGTGTTCCAAACATTTATATCACTTCCGCCTCAAAAGGAAACAGTTCTTCGGTGTTTACGTTCATTTCTCTTCCAGAATGAATCCATCCAACTTGGAAAGTGGGGGAGGAGGGGGAATAGAAAAGAGTGAAATGAACTCATACACACGTAAACATCCTGTAATGGGGTGCGGTGGTGTTTGTGTGGTGACTGTACGAGGGAGTGCTGGAATAACGGTTTAAACACACACACAAGCACACACCCTGCTCCTGCGAGGGACGGCGAGTGGCGGGTTAAAAGGGGGCCAAATTGCGGGGAAACCCTTGCTCAAGGACTTTCCACGTTAGCTATGAATATTAAAGGCACAGGAGGAAAGTCACGAGATCCCCGAGTAACTTTCCAAGCTAACAGGTCACAATGCCACACGGGAAATAATTAAAAAACACGCGAGCCAAAGGCAATTCCGGTCACTGTTAAAATTCCTTTTTTTTAATTTTTTAAAATTAAGTTATACCACTGAGACTTCTTTTAATAAATAAATGTTTGGGAAGAATTGAAAAAACTAACCCAAAATTATTTAAAATATTTTAAAATGCAACTCTACAGTTATTTCTCTTTCAGTGCTATCATTTTGTCCCTTGCTGTACTCTTACACACACACACCAGTGCGCGCGGACATGTGCAACCTTCGTGCCAACAAAAACAACAAATAACCGAAATGTGCTAATAGGCAGGCCCCAAGGGCAAGAGAGGGACAGCGAGGCCTGAGGGGGCGTCGCGTTTAGCGGGTGGCTAACTAGATTTATTCGATTTGTTCCAATAGGGAATGGGAATCCAAAATCCAATCCACTTACCATACTATTTCCATGCCAGGCCGGGAAGTGGGTAGATGAAGAGAACTGTCCGAATTTGTTTTTTTCGTTAAGGAAAGGCTCTCTCTCGCTCGCACTCGCGCTCCCTGTCTGTGTCTTTTTCTGGGCTCTCCTTCGTTGCAGGTTGGTGTTGCTGTTTTTTTTTTTTTTTTTTTAGGGAGGCGGGGAGGCGTGGCAGCTGTTTTCCGCCTTGGGTGTGCCGCAAAAACGATACACACTACAAACAGAGACAGTCGTGTAAACAATTGAAGATACAATATCGATGACGCGCGCCCAAGACGCCTTGCTCTCTCGCTCTCGTTCTCAGAAATTGTTGGTGTTGCAGCAGCTTCTTCTTGTTCTTGTTTTCCGTAACCTTTTTGGCGCCTCTCCCACTCTCTCTCTCTTGCTCGCTCGCCCTTCCTTCTGCTCGCTCTCTCTCTGTCGCTCTGTTGCCAGCGGCGCCGATTTGTTTGGTTTATTTTTGTATTAGAAAATTTTGTCAATGCTGCCGCCTTGTTTTTGTTTCATTAATATTCGCGATTTTAATATGGAATATATATTATTATATTTATATATATACGTATTTATAAGCGCAAAGCCTTGCTAATTGCCGCTGCTTCGCGTTTCTTCACCTCTCTTCACCGGTTCACCGCTCTCGCTCACTCGCTTAGCGTGCGTACTTTGCACCGCAAAAACCGAAAAAAAAACTCAAATAAAAGAGATCCCGAAACACACTAAACTACGGACTATCAATTTTGCAGGCCAGGGAAGAAAATCGATCGATTTTCCCACAGCACGCAGCACGGGGCACGGCTATTTCTTTGCAGACGCGTTTTTCCTTTTCTATTGCAATTTTTTCACTATGCGCGTGTATGTTTGCGCGCGCGTGTATGTGTCTGGACCCGGGGGGAGGAGGAGTGTGTGTCGATTGTGTGCGAAACGGAGCGAAATTTGTTGCAAATTTATTTATCACTTGTCGGACTGGGCGTTCTCGTGGGTTGGCGCGCACATTTCGGCAAATCAGCCCCTCCAAGTCATTTCTGTTTTTTTATTGCTGGCAAAACATTAGGGTGCGCAAAGTCTCGATGAAAACATCGATGCATCGATATTTTTCGAATTTTCAAAGTAATCGATGTCTTTTCCGGCAATCGATGTTTCTGCCGTCCCTATCAAGGGTGTTTTGTGTGCTCTTAATAAATTACTTCATTTTCTTTTCACGCTAAACATTAATTTGTTGTTTATTCATTTATAATTTTAATTATATTTTATATATTTAGCACGGCGATATAGATATTTTATACGATTAATTTATTTAAAAGGACTATCGATACAAAAAAACTTGCAGTGGTTGGGGCGCCAAAAAGTTGAATAAAGGTGCGAAAAATACTCACCACACTTCATGTTGAGGCTGCCAGTTTAGCTTATTTCAAGCTAGACTTGGCATGCTTGGAATTTAAACAGCTTATAAGCGTAAGAATTATCTTATTGCCTTAAATCTAGCTTAATTTAATATCAACTTTAGCATTATGCGTATTCGTGATATAAAAATCTTCTTTTATAGATAAATAGACGTACAAATAAAGCAAACGAATACCGAAGTGGCGCGAGAATTCAGCCGAAAGAACAAATAAATCCATATACATAATTCCATGAAATTTGAAGCAGGGATTTTTTTTTATCAAAATTACTTAATTAAATATGTTTTTTTTTAGTTCTAAGACATGTTTTTAGCAGTATACTTCATGATTTGCAAAACAAAACCACAACGATAAACAATTATACGATACAAAAATATTACAAAATCGACTTATTAATATTCAATTCAATTTAACTAAAAATGTTTAAAATTTAATAATGTATGGTTTATCTCATTGTTACCCTCTCGGACACATGTGTTTTTAATTTGTGGTTTTTTTTTACTCAGAATCTAGCTTGCAGTATAAATATTTAATATAGTATATATAGAAAAAAGGAACATAAAAACCTTAAAACAACCCCAAAATTGTTACTTTGATTACCAAAATTAATATAATTCTAAAAGCTTAAACAAAAAACATTTTTTTTCAATAAAATAAACTGATAAGGTTACCAAAATATATGTATTTCCGATGATCTATAAAAGTATTAGTTTTATTTAAGTAAATGATAGTTTTAAACAATCTAAGAGAATTGTGGTCAGATAACTAAGTTCACCTTTAAAATATATATTTATTTATTTATATTTTTTCTTTTAACATAGGCTTAAATTAAATAAGTGAATTTCGAATATATATAGTTGCCCAAAAACAAGATGAAAACTATGTTCTCAGGAGTCAAATCATAATACGATATGAAAATTATAGTTCTATAAACAAAAAATACATTTGAAAACGGAATTCTTGAAAGGAGGCTTGGCGCGCATATCGACATAATTTCTTCTTTCTGTATCTTATGGGTAAACCAATTTATTTTTAAACAATATAACTAAAAAACCTTTGGAAACGTACAGATTGAGAATAATAGTCCTTGTTCGATTAACAAATTAAGGGAATTCAGAAATGTTACAGATACATAATCGACTTGCCTCGCGATGGCGAGGACGCCTTTTCTTTTATTTTGTTTTTAAATTTACATCTCGTATTTTATATATATTCTTTCTGCGCTCTTGTCGAGCTGCACGCATGTGTATGGGGGGTGTGTGTGTTGTGTGGAGGGGTTGCTTAAATTTAGGTTGTCTCGTCACCGAAAAGATCATTAGTTTTGTGGGTTTTGTGTGGCAAAAAAGGTTACAAATTACTTTCTTTTTTCTTAAAGGGAGCCATACATTGGGGCAAATAAATATTTATACACTTTTTACGCTTTCCTATTTGTTCTCGTATGCGAGCGCGTTTTCAAATTGTGATTTAAGAGTAGAAACTGTGTTCTGTGCCTAAATATGTATACAAATAATAAAAAAAAAGAGAGGGGATATTAAACGTATAGATTTTCCATGTAGTATATCGAAGCATTTCGGCAAAAGCATAGCCTATAACATTGACAGGCAATACTTTTGTGGAATTACATCGATACAATATTATCCAAGAAGTGTATGTCTCCTCGTCATTATCCTTGTCCTCCTCCTGCTGGATACCAGCGATACCGCTCTATGTGTCCGATTTCCACAACTTAATGGTCTTGTCGTTCTCGAGCGCCGCCGAGGCGATTATGTTTTCAGTGGGATGGCAGGCGGTGCACAGCACGGTGTCAGTGTGGCCCTGAAGCTTCTGGACGACTTCCTTGCTCTGCAGATTCCAAATGTAGACCATGTTGTCCTCGCTGCCGCTAACGATCCACTGGAAAATGGGAGTAGAGTACGTTGAGTGAGGAAATCATGGGTGTTGTAAAATAAATTTAATTTTTAAACTAATAAATAGTCGTTTTCAGACATTTAGTGTAATAAGTTGCAAAAAACACCTACTTCCCAGTTCAATTTATATTTTATATTAAACATTTCCCACTTACCTTGCCGCCAGTCACCGAGAAGTTGGCAAATATGCAGTACTTTTCATTCTTGTGCCCTGTGTACGTCTTGAGGCACTTGCCCTTGGAGTAGTCCCACAACTTGAGGGTATTGTCCAGCGTTGCGGCTAGAATGTACTTGCCATTGGGCGAGAACTTGACAAAGCTGACGGGCGGATTGTCATCGTCAATCAGCGTCTTCAGACACTGACCGCTAGCCGTGTCCCAGATGCGACAGAGGCCGTCATAGCTGCTGCTCACGATCAGTGAGCCATCGCGATTGAAGTGAACCGCCGAAACGGGATCAGAGTGAGCGGGCAGGGTCTTCAGGCACTTGCCCGTGCGTACGTCCCAAATACGAACGCTCTCGTCGAAGCTGCCCGATACAATGAGATTGGACTGCGGATTGAAGTTGCAGCAGAAGACATAGTTGCTGTGACCCTTCAGTGTCTTTAAACTCTTGCCGGTGCTTAGTTCCCACACTTTGAGGGTCTTGTCATCGCTACCGCTGACAAGGAGACGCGAGTCGGAGCTCCAGGCCACATCGCTAATGCCCAGCTTGTGGCCCGAAATTGTCTTCTCGAATTTGCCATCGTAGGCTCCCCAGATTTTGATCAGTTTATCAGCGGCTACAAAGGACAGAAGGTCGAGAGTTTACCATAAAAATCCAAGCTATTATTTGCTCTTCCTCTCCCTCTAGATTTTGTGTACTTACAAGAACTAGCCAGCCACTCGCCGTTGGGACTAAACTTGACGGCAGAGACCGCCTTGGTGTGTCCGGCCAGGGTGAACTTGAGGGTATAGTTGGGCTTCACCGACAGCGAGCTCTTGTTGGAGACGCTGCTGTTCGACGATGTATTTGCCCCGGCTGCCCCAGAGCTTGGTTGCAGTGTATTTGGACCGCTGGGCGCCGTTGGCATCGGTTGTGGCGGCGGATGCACTACGCCGGGATGGCCGCCGTGGACGGATCCGATGGGCACCATGTCCTCGGCTCTTGCTTTTCTGCTTTCTTTACTTGAGTCACTTCTGATCTTTTCTCTGGAAAATCCCCTTTCTCACTTTTCCGCACACTTTTCAGGCAGCGCCGCACACGTGCTTCTTCTTCTTCCGGCTGTGGAAACGCCGCTGCTGGGCCGCTGACCGCTGGAAATGCCGCGAATGGGACGCTGGAAGGATTGTGCCTGGCTATTAGCGTCGGCTGTCCTCGCGGGAGTTTCTCCGTCTGGTTGCCGCCGGGCTGCTGCTGTTCGTTATTGTTTGTTTTAGGCGCTCGCTTGGCGTTTCGTGCCACACGTGAAAAATAATATAAATTGCAAGTTGGTGTGACCGTTGCAGGCTATTGTGAAAATCCCAGCGGCGGTGCACCGCCATCCGGTTGAATGCGCTGGCTGCTGGCGGCGTGTTTTGTGTTTGCCGCATGTTCTTGCGGGGGTTGTTATTTGGCTAATAAGGGTGGGCAGAAGGAAATTTAACATTTTCAGGCTGTTTGTTTGGGCTACATAAGGAATTTAAACATTGAGGGAAAGTGTAGACCTTGCACAGAGTTGCCACATCGCTTGGTTGCGTTCAGCAGAACTATCGCATGAAAACAGTGATCAGTGATTATGTTCGTCTGCTGAACGCAACTATTCTTCGAGCAATATTTTTTAAATTAAGGATATTAAGGATGTCAGAGGGTTTTAAAAGAGTAAGAATTATTCATTTCACCAAATTAATTATGCTTTATCAAAAGTCAACAACATTTATGTTAAGGGCATTTAATTTAAGAATACAGGATTGAGTTTCTAAAAACACCGGCAAATATTTAGCCGGTTAGGAAACGAACCAAAATAGCTGAGTACTAAATTTATCAGATAAATCCTAGTCGAAAACCATGTGGGTAAATAGCTTTCTGATTTTTTATTATTATTTGTTTATTATTTTCAAGTTTATAAAACCCTTTGTATTATTAATATATACTATTATTAAGGATTTCAGAAGATTTTAAAATAGCAAGAATTATACATTAAACAAAAGTAATAATGGTTTATCAAACGTCAACAACATTAATGTCAAGGGCATTTAATATACAACTAAAGGATTGAGATTCTAAAAATGTCGGAAAAAATTAAGACGGATAGAAAACGAACCAAAATAGTTGAAAGCTAAATTTAATAGATAAATCCTAGTCGAACACCACGTGGGTAACTAGCTTCCTATTTTATTAATATTATTTGTTTATTATTTTCAACTGTATAATACCCTGAGGTAGAAACAAAATTTACATCATTTACATATTTTACATTTACATAAGCATCGATACGAAACATCGATGTTTATTCATCTCAATCGATAGTGCTTATCGAAGCCTCTTCAATTTCGCGCGCTGCCGAAAGCGGTCATACTGACGCCACCATTTTTCAATTTTGGCGACTCAACTGAGAAGTGTAGAAGCAAAAAGAATCTGCTCCCATCGTTGCTCCGTTTTTGATTATTTCTTCGATTTGCAGTTCATATTAAAGGTGAGTTTCCATTCTTCCATTTTTCTAGACCATTTCTCTTGCCAGTATCCGTGAATCGCAGCACGGCCAAAAAGAAATTCATGTAAACGGATTTCTAATTGGTAACTCCGATTTTCTTTCTATTTTTGCACAATAAGACATTTTTTCGCGTAAAAACTAGTGAGAAAACTGATAAAGATGCCTGAGCTGACCAAAAACAAGAATAAGAAGACGAAGGCCGCGTCCTCTACCTCCAACTCTGGGGAGGCGAAGCCCAATGAAGTGCGCGTTGGGGATGTCGGCAGCGATACCGACTCCAACGGCGGCACGCCCAATCTGCAGTTGAATCAAATAGGAGGCGGTAACACCGGGCTTCCTTTCCAACTGATAACCAAAGGCAAGCAGTCGCGCGGCGAGAAGAAGGCCAGGAAGATCATTCTGAAGCTCGGCCTCAAGCCGATCCTGGGCGTCAACCGCGTGACCATACGCAAGTCGAAGAACATTCTGTTCGTGATCAACAACCCGGATGTGTACAAGAATCCACACACCGACACCTACATCATCTTCGGAGAGCCCAAAGTCGAGGATCTGTCGAAGCAGGCTAAAATGGCTGCGGCAGAGAAGTTCAAGGCCGTGAAGGCTGCTTTGCCTATGAAGCCAACCACTGTTGCCAAACCGCTGGCTCCCATCGTTGAGAAGGAAGAGGAAGAGGTTGTGGATGCTACTGGCGTCGACGAGAAGGATATTGAGCTTGTGCAAATGCAGGCAAACACTACACGATCCCAGGCTGTCAAGGCGCTGAAGAAGAACAACAACGACCTTGTCAACGCCATCATGGACCTGACCTTGACCTAAAGCCCACAAAAGGCGCCTCATTTAGTTGTTAAGCAGACTTTTGATACCCTATTGATCTATATTCTGTGCCTGTCCCTTCTGGGCAGCAATCAACACCAACTCTCAGGCATGTAAATGTACTACACAGAATAATTGGATCTTAATAAAGGTGGACTTAATTCATAAATTAATTCATTATTTTATCACTAATTAGTAGTAAAAAATGGTTTCAACGTTTGACCCACAGGAATGAACATGTTTCGACATGAGAGAGATAGGCACATGAACATAGTACGCAAGGGACTTGGTAAGTTATTTCAAATAAAATTAGCGCTTCCAAGAATTTTGAACCAGCGATGTGTGACCAGCTCTCCCTACGACCAGGGATTTCTTCGGCCGCCCGCTGCTGCCACACTGCTACACACAATCACAGAAAAAAAACAACCCCAAAGCAAAACATTCCCCCAAAATCAAAACATTCCCCCATTTCGAGGCTAAATTTCGAGTGTGAAGCAGCAGCAGCAGCTGGCACAGGACCAAGGACGGACCCAGGAGCAAGGACCAAGGAGCCACGATGAACGGACTGCCGCCCAGCAAGCACTACAACCTGACGCACTACCAGCAGCGCTACAACTGGGACTGCGGCCTGTCCTGCATCATCATGATTCTATCGGCTCAGCAGCGGGCCGAGCTGCTGGACAACTTCGAGGCGGTGTGCCGCGAGGAGGGCTTCGGCTCTAGCACGTGGACCATCGACCTGTGCTACCTGCTGCTGCGCTACCAGGTGCGCCACGAGTACTTCACCCAAACTCTGGGCATCGATCCCAACTATGCCCAGCACACCTACTATTCCAAAATAATTGACAAGGACGAGCGGCGCGTGACGCGCAAGTTCAAGGACGCCCGGGCTCATGGCCTGCGTGTGGAGCAGCGCACCGTTGGCATGGAGGTCATACTGCGTCATCTGGCACGCCATGGTCCGGTCATATTGCTAACGAACGCCTCCGTGCTCACCTGCGAGGTGTGCAAGCGCAATGTACTGGAGAAGTTTGGGTGAGTTTTATGGATAGCCGACACCACCGACTAATTCCTACGAAATCTCCCCACTAATGAATCCCCACTAAAACCCCCACTAATCCCTAACCTAATCCCACACCGAACCGAATGAAAAGCTGTTTTCACCTTCAATGCATCATCCCCAAAATACGCATGCCGGACCACCAAAGGTACGCCGGACACTATGTGGTGCTCTGTGGCTATGACATGGCCGCCGAGAAGCTCTTCTATCACAATCCCGAGGTCCACGACGGCCGTAAGTGTAAATCGAGTCTTGCAACTTTGTAATTTCATTGATTTTTTCTGTTCCACACACAGACATTTGTCGCTGCCTAATCGAGTCCATGGACACGGCCCGACGCGCCTACGGCACCGACGAGGACATCATCTTCATCTATGAGAAGAAGGCCGCCGCCGCCGCCACGAGCGAATAAATGGGAGAGGAGGGAGTTGTGCTCCTTTCCACAATGCAATTTAGTACCTGCAGTTTGCCAGGTTACCAAAAGGAGGAAGTCGCGGATGGGATCTGAGCTATGTGATATTAGTACGTTAGAGGAAGAGAAGGGTTGGATGTATGAACTGGAACTGGAAGCTGCTAAGCTGCTAAGCTGCTTTGCTGGGCTGCTGCTACTTGGTTAACTTTGGCACAACAGTGTACTTTATTTAGGTATTTGTTAGCAGTTGGTCCCCATAAAAAACAACAATTACAACAATGTTTATATGTAAAGCCAGGGTCGACTTTTGCCTCAAAATCCTGTCCAGGCTACGGTTAATACCCAGCTGCACTCAATAACTATTATTTAAGTTTAGAAAGTGTTTTAGTTTATATCAAGTGACAGAGAGATAGAGAAGCAAGCGTTTAAATACACATTTTTGTTTAAATAAGTTCGTATACACATTTGCCCTGCCATAGGAATATATTATATATTATATTCCATACATTCCCTTGATAAAAGTAGTATTTATATTTAAGCTTGCTCCTAGGTACACTTAAATTTAATTAAAAAATCAAGAAATGCTTGTAACAACAAAGGAACTTTCCGTTTCTTTAGCCATATTCCCCGCATTTATTTGGGGTAAATGAAGAGTATTATTCGTAGCCTGTGTCTGCAGAATTTTGTTTCAAAATCGACCCACACATTCCAATACGATTATGCATAATTTTGTGTGTAGAAAATACATTGTTCCAACCTATAGCCATTGCTCACTAAAACCCCTCCTCTAATCCTTGGCCAGTTTCTGCTCGTAGATGTGCTTGATGAGCAGCTGTAGCTTAATGTGCGGCGCCTCCACGGGCAGGATTATGTGACCATCGTCATCCGTGTATTTGTCGTATGGCTGCTCGGCGAAAACCTCAAAACCATGGGATCGAAATATCTTCTGGGAAAAGATGCCGGTGGCATCGGCCTTCAGGAGACAGAAACCATTCTTTTTGGCCAATGCCACCGATTGCTTGACCAGCTCATTGGCAATGCCACGACCACGATAGGATGAGTCCACCGAAAGGATGCGCACATCGAAGATAGATTCTACGGCATATTTCTTAAACAAATCGTTTTTGGTATTGTGACAATGGAGCAGAGCGAAGATCTTCCGGTATCCCGGATCATTGCTCCTGTCTAGCTTTTCCAGCGCCTTGACCGTATCCTCGGACCTGTAGATGCCGTTCAGCACCACGCCGGCTATTTTACAGCTTCCCAGCTGCTGTGGCTCCACGGCCATTAGGCTCATCCCATCCTGCATGGCCTCCACACAGTGCTCCTCCAGCTCAGCGCTGCTGCTACCATTCTGGCAGACGCCGGCGGCCTTGTTCAGTGGCTCGTCGGCGAAGAAGTTACGACGCAGGTGCTCCAGCACCTGGTCATAGTGCTCCGGTCCAATCAGTTTATACTCCATGGTGTCGCCGCCAAGACACTTCTTCTCTGTGACAGATGATGCTGGCCAAGTTCTGGGGAAGATTAGGGGCATTTTAGAGGGTTTTTAAATATGACAAAATTATTTCTGGAATCATTACATATTTTTTATGTATGCTAAATTGTTTAATTTAAGTATTTGGTGTCTTAAATAATAATAATAAATTGTTTAACCTAGGAAAAAATTAATTATTTGCAATGACTTTGGAATCTACAAATTGTATTGCCTACTTTAAGGCACATTTTGGAAGGATCTTGGGATTTTATTAATTATCTCAAATTATCTCTAATTTAAATATTATTATATTATTATATTTATACGAAAAATTAAAAATCATAACTAGCTTTATTTTTAAATAAAAATAAAGGTTTCTGCGGGTAGTAAAACTTCTTTAGCAGTAGCCATATAAATATGTTATATTTAAAGCTAAATTAATTGCATTTAAAATTTTTAAAAATTGCTTCTTGCAAAATATTAAAGCCACAGAAATTGCTGATTATTTATTTATTCAACATTGATTGAAAACCTGCCTAATAGTGAATAATTATAATAAAATAGTTAGGACTTTGTTCGGTACGCTTTGAAATACTTTTATGTAAATTTTTCAGTGACTTCTCGATTTAAATTTAATGATAAAATTATATTAACTAATTAATTAATTTATTATCAAGTCAAAATAAGTTCTTGAGGCTAAAATATATTTTTTATAGGTAATAAAGCTCAATTCCTTCATAGTTTTCCATATATTGTCTTTACTTTTTATTTATATTTATATACCAAACAAATTATCATAGTTATGGTAAAAATATATAACAATTTAATTATATTCTTTTATTCCATTAAATTTATTTAATTACACATGCAAGTCTTTATACGTTTATGTGAAGGACATTTATTTTTTCCTAAAACTCAATTAGTCGTCATCCTCCACGCACTTTCTCCTTTCCCCCACTTGCACTTTAGCAGGGGGTTCCCCCTAATGACACACACACACATGGACACGCCACACCCCCATTTGGCACACACACACACACACACTCACACAGGTCAAAAAGGTTGCAATCACCTGTCGTCGTAAAGCGTTAGTTCCTCAAGCGGATGTGGCTCGGATAAACGGCTGGAAGGTATCGTATGGACTCCAGGAGTACTTTGTCCAGGACTCTGGACTCTGGACTCTTGACTATGTTGTGTGTTATTTGTTTTCCTCCTCAGCTGGAAGGGATCACAACAAAAAATTATGTGTAACCTAGTTCTGGGCGCTGCCAGATGCGAACTGCGACTGGCGACTGACGGCGACTGGCGGCGACTGGAGCAGCAGCAGGAGCAACAGCAGGAGCAGGACCGATAACAGCATCCCAGTTGGGGCACTGAGAGAAAAATTAGAGCAAGAAAAAGATAGCAAGGAGTTTTAATTATTTAAAAATTTAGTCTTTTAGTAGGGAATGATATAGGTTTATTTTGAGTTTAAAGTAATTTTAAAACGTATTTTTCTTTGCTTTTAATTTATATCCTAAATTAAGGATAAGTGCATAAGAACAGCAGCATTTTATTAATTTCTTATATGAAAGTAAGTTTTAAATATATATTGCTTTCCCCTAGAAAATGCCATAATTCAAATTGAAAATACATAAAGAAAAAAGTACAACTAAAAACAAGAATTGAAGATGAACTTTTAAATTCAATTAAATTATAGAATTAAATTGAAAATAGATCATATCAAAGCTTAAAAATATTCGGATTCTTTGAGTCAATATTTTTATGACAAATTTTTCAACAAATCAAAGTTTAACGAATAACATTAATCATACGCAGTGGGGTCCACCATTCGAAATTCGTTTTTATTATAAATCAAGAAGGGAAATTAAAACTTGGAATGCCGAAGTTTATATACCCTTGCAGTTTGGAAAAAATTCGCATTCTTTGAATCGAAATTTATCGATATTTGAAATGAAAATTTTCGAAAAATCAAATTTTAAAATACTCATAACTCAGTCAAAAATGCATCAATTTTAATTCGGATAGCTTTTCTATGTAAGTTTTTATTTGATTAACAAATCTGCATACTCGATTAAAAATAAAATTTTAATCAATTTTTTGTTAAATTTGAACGATATAAAATTTAAAAAAAAATTTTCAAAAAATTGTTTTCTGCTGAAAATGCTTAGATCGATTTGCCTGTCAATGCTGATCAAGAATATATATGATTTATAGGGTCCGAAATGACTCCTTCATTGAGTTTCAAGCTTCTAACTAAAATTATAATAATAAATTTTGTTAAAATCGAAAATTTATGAATTTTCGCTCGGTGTACGTCCTCGTGTCTCCCTCACAGCCGAAGCATGAGAAAAATGCTGACTCTTTGCCAGATGAGGGGGAGTTAGTGGGTTTTGAGGCCCAAATAAAGGAAAAGGAGGCTGTGTGCCGAGTGACAGCCATGCGTATACGCAACGTACACCCCAAACACACACACACACATATACTCACACACACACACACACACACACCATCCCTATGAGCGATTGCCGTTGCCTGGCCGTGACTTATGCCAAATGCCAATACAATTGCTGTCGCAGTAAAATCGAAAGTTGCCCCCACCCTTAGTCCCACCCCCATCCTTTCTGGCCAGGACGAACCCAACTGTTGATTCTGCCTTTTGTGAGGTTATATCCTCGGTACAAAGCACGCTCGTATGCGCTTAAGGACTTTAACTTTGCCACCAAAAGCGAGACTCCTCAACGACCAGGACGTGCCGCATTCAACAGGAGGCAAACACGACACACACACATTTCCCCTATTAAATTGTGTGAATAAAAGATATATATATTTGTATATATAAATGGATGTGGGGTATATGTTGTACATACTGGCAGGACTTTGATCTTTCAGGGGGAATTTATTTATTAATTTTGTAAAAGGGAATTTTAAATGGAGTTTAACTAGCTGTTAAATATATATTATTTATAATCTTTATTATATAAATAATACATAATATATATATATATAGATGTTACTGTATATATTATATTATTATTATATTCTCATATTTTATAATACTTAATTTTTTGTATAGTTAAATCTCCCTTTTAAAAAGGATTTGCTTGTTAGTTAGTTAGTTACTTGGTTTAACTAAGTTTAGACTAAGCTTAAGCCAGTTCAAAGTATATAGAAATTCTTTCCTGAATTAAATATGAATATTTATGGATCTGTTAAAAAAAGGAATAAGTTAAAGATGTTTTAATATCAAATATTTATGAGCAAGTTCATAGCTCATAGTGGCAAGCAAAATTATAACTATAATAAATATTTTAAAATTTTGAATAAATATTCTTAAATATTCCTAAGAAAGTTAATAGTATTGCATGAAAATGTATTTATATATTTGTTATAATTAAGGTAGACTTTAAATGTATTTGTTAAGATGGAAACAAATTTAAATATAATACAAGTAAATACATTGGATTTGTTTGTTAATAATGCCATTCTAAAAATCCCTTATAGAAGAAAAATCTATTTAAATGTTCCTTAATTTATTTATATTTTATCTGTTACGTTTATCTGTTTAATTAAATAATTTCGATTGACCTCGTTTGTGGCTTTTGGCGTCTAGACAACGCCCTCAGCAGCCAACTGTTTGCTTGACCATAAAAAATGCCCCCAAAAATTCCGACCTTTCCCCCAAACCAATAACCATACTATATACATATATATATATTTATATTCATACACCCCGCTATGCATATTCATTACTTTAATTAATAACCCACTAGACATGTATGAGGCGGACACACGTGTCTATTGGCACACATGGACAATGGGTCTCCTCTACAAAAATCACCAACAGCAATTACACTGAGATTTAATACGAGGAATATGCAGAAAATCTGAATTTAAGAATAGGTATATTATAAACTAAATAAATAATATTAATAACTGATAAAATTAATTCAAAACAAGGAACTTATAGAAGGAGAAGTGTGTAAATCCATGCATAAAAAACTTTTAAAAATTAAGTTACATTTTTAGATGCTAATTTGGGAAAATCAAAGTTTTTAAAATATCATAATTAAGCAAAAAATGCATTGAATTCAATGCGGATAGCTTTTCTCTGCTAGTTTTTAAAGGGTTAACAAGTCTGCATATTGACTTTTAAAATCTAAAAAATAATTTTTTTTTTGTAAATTTTTGATAGTTTTAATGATGAAACCCCTTATACAATTTTGAAGAAATTTCGAAAATTAATTTTTTTTACCAGACATGACTAAATCGATTCGGCTTTTCGTGCTGATTAAAAATATATATGATATAAGGGGTCGGAAATGATTCCTTTGCAATGTTGCAAGCTCCTAACTGATATTGTAATACCCTGTAAGGGTATAATAATTTACCAAAAGTTAACTTTGATTACACAAATTGATACATTTATAAAAATTGCTGTATCACTTTAAATTAAAATTTAGTAATGGATCTATGGCAATAACAGAATTATTTGGAAAATAAATGCATAGCTAGCACAACTGATTCTAGATCTAGGCTTGTTTCCTCCAACAGCATCCTTATAATTAATATAATTGTCATTGTTAAGACTTACCGCAGAAGATGGGACACGTCATCGTTAATTCCTTCCAGTGCAAAGACATATTCTTGGTGTCATCAATTAGGCTTGTCATGGTCATCAAAACAAGCACTTCCTGTTTATCCAGAAGATGTAAATTGGCCACGTCATATTTTTGGAGTCCATGGGTAATCACTATCACTATCACTCGAGATGTTAACACTGGAGACGCCACGGACCGACTGAGGTGCGCAAGGCGGCAGAGCCCGCTATTTATACTTTTCGAGCGAAGAGAATAGAGAAAGTGTGAGCGAGAGCGAGAGGCAGAGGCATCTATGGAGGAGGCAAGCAATGAGAGAGAGGAGCGGCGGCCTCACTGGCCTCACCCACCCCTTTCTCTGGAGAACTCTCTATGTGTCTCAGTGCTTGCCTCCACAGATGCCTCTTTGCCTCTCGCTCTCACCTTCTCTATTCTCTCTATCTGTCTCTGTCTCTAGAGATACACAGAATATTGAAGAGGTAGAGTTGTAGGGAGGCAGAGAAAGCTAGAGATAGAGAGAGAGCGAGTGAGCACTATTCACTGGCATTACAATATTATATTATTGCAAGAGCGGAACGCCCTTTTAATATTGCCATTCGATCATAAATAATGAATACAATATATATTTTATATATTTTTGTTAAAAACAAGGAAATAATTCCCAATTTCAAATTCCTTCACTGCGTTGCAAAATCTAAAATTATATGAAATAGAATCCATATATTGATGCTATTTGAATTTTTAAGGCAGATAAATATATAAATATATATTCTGTTTTATATATATTGAATCTATATAAAAAAAAATATATATACATATATAATTAAATTAAATAACATATCACGAATATTTTTTGATTGTCTCCATTATATAGATATTTATAAATTTTTATTTAAATTTTGATATTTTCAATATATTATATGGCGCTTTCCCCCTCAATATATAAGCTTTTCTAATAAATTTAATTATTATTTGTTATAATGTTATAATGATTTTTTCTCTGTAAAATAGAGCGATGGGCACATGACGAAGGCGGCACAATACGTGGTATTCAAATTGCGTGACATTGCCATCCGGAGCCGGAGTCGGAACCAGAGACCCATATAGGGGGCAACACACAAAGGTATTTCAAAGTCAGTGCCGCGAAATATCTGCGCGTGGCAGCAGTAGATAGATCCATCCCATTGTCTGCCACCCAAAAAAAAAAAGAAGAAATTATCGTTGTGCGTTATTGATGGCAATCAGGTCCAATTGAAGACAATCTGTGCGGAATTGGCAGCACTGCGGCACAAATCCATCAAGTTGACAGTCCCATTTATCGTTAGAAAGTATCGATCACTAACAAAAAAAAAATAAATAATAAAACTGACCCTGAAACGAAATATATATATTAATAAAATATTAGTTTATACTTGGTATAGCTTTTTGTTCACTTGTCATTGTAAATATTATTCCTAGCAGAACAGCTGATTGATACTCTATAAATAACGGTAATGTCTGTTAATTTGTAGTTCCATTTTGCCAAGTTTTAATTAATCGAATTAAAAGTCCATTCTCATTACAACTCTTGTTGTTCTTTAATTAGTTGTTGAGATATTGCCATTGCCTGTGAGATCATTCACTCATTACCATTTCTGTTACTCAAGTTCGAGTGTGTGCTGTGCCAAATCAACGACTAGAAATTACCCTAGAGAATAATTAAAATGTTTTTTTAGAACAAAAACAATTTGAAATTATTTTATAAGTAATTTAAAGATTGAAGAATAACGAAAACTTGGTATCTGGTTCTATTTTTTGATAATCTTGTATACAAGATTTTAAAGTTTCCGTTTAAATATTATATTATATATATTATTTAAACAAAATCAAGCTGTATACCAAATTATAATAGTATTAGACGTAGTATTGCCGAGTTACTACAGGTAGTACAAGTATATATACCTTCTATTTCCATATTCTATTCTGTGTCGTGTGACAGCCTCTCTGCTTTGCTCCGTGGACAGCTGTTCCGGAACAGCTGAGTGAAGGGTGGGCCCCCTCCATCATCATCATCATCACACTCTATGTACCCCAATCCAATCCGATGAGATCCCATGTAGCCATACCATACCATCCCAAATGATCGTCACTCTCCCGGCAGGTCGCTCAATGCGTCTTCATTCGCTGGCCCAGTTTGTTGTCGCGCGCTCGTGGTTCCTCCACTCGTCGTCCGTTTTTATTTTCGTGGTGTCGCCTATATATATATTTAGTAAATATTTTGTTGTTGATATTTATAGTTGTGAATTTTCTCTCACACTCTCTGCGTGTTGTTGAACATATTTTTTTGTTGGTGTTTTAATATTTTTATTTATTGTTCTTGTGAAGACTTTGATTTAAAATTAAATGGCAGCCAAAGATCGCCTGCCCATATTTCCCTCCAGAGGGTGAGTCGGCCTAATCCTGATCCAAATCGTTATATATATCTATAATCCAAGTGCTATTCACCGTTTCTAGAGCCCAAACACTGATGAAATCGCGTCTGGCAGGCGCCACCAAGGGTCATGGTTTGCTCAAAAAGAAAGCAGATGCACTCCAGATGCGTTTTCGCCTGATTCTGGGCAAGATCATAGAGGTAAAGAGGTCAATTTAGTAAAAAAATATAATGAATATTATAAATATGTTATAATCAGACCAAGAGCCTGATGGGTCAGGTGATGAAGGAGGCAGCCTTTTCGCTAGCCGAGGTCAAGTTCACCACGGGCGATATCAATCAGATAGTTTTGCAAAATGTGACCAAGGCTCAGATTAAAATACGTACCAAAAAGGATAATGTGGCCGGTGTGACCCTGCCTGTGTTTGAACCATATATGGATGGTGTGGATACCTATGAGCTGGCTGGCCTGGCACGCGGTGGACAGCAGCTGGCCAAGCTCAAGAAGAACTATCAGTGTGCAGTGCGACTGCTCGTCGAATTGGCCTCGCTCCAGACCTCCTTTGTGACTCTTGACGATGTGATCAAAGTGACCAATCGGCGGGTAAATGCCATCGAACATGGTGAGTATCAGAGTTTCTTGAATACATATAGATAGATTAATATCTCCTTTTTTTTAGTAATTATTCCCCGCATCAATCGCACCATTGAGTACATCATTAGCGAACTGGATGAACTAGAACGTGAGGAATTCTATCGCCTGAAGAAGATTCAGGACAAGAAGCGGGAGGCTCGCAAAACGGCGGACAAGAAGCGTGAGGAGTTGCGTCGCCAAGGACAATTGGCCGAGGAGGCCAAGGAAGTGCAGAATATCCTTGATGAGGATGGTGATGAGGATCTGCTCTTCTAGACCGATCAAAGTCGAGATCACAATGATCATGATGCTGATGCTGATGCTCCATCCTGTTTCCACTTTGCACTCAATTTTGCTACCTCACCTTTGTCCACCTTGTTTTCGTTGTTGTTGTTGTTGTTGTCGCTGTTTTTTGTTGTCGTTATCATTATCATTGTTCATTGTGATCCGTATGCTGTTCTTGGAAATACAATCCCTATCCGTAACCCCAGAATATACCCCCTGTCGTCTCTCTCTCTATCTCTATCTGTGTCTTGTGTTTGGTTTCAATTGTCAATTTACTGTGTGTGTGGTGTGTGTCTCTAAGTGTATGCACTGAGAGAATAGTTTGTGGTTAACAAAAAAAAAAAAGGGTACGGTGGGAAATATATTAAGTATACGCAGGGGAAATATATTAAGTATACGCAGGGGAAATATATTAGGTATACGCAGGGGAAATATATTAAGTATACGCAGCGAATATCAAGTATACGCCAGGGAAATATATTAAGTATACACAATGGAAATATGTTAAGTATACGTACAAGAAGTATATTAAGTATACGTACAGGAAGTATATTAAGTATACGCTATGGAAATATATTAATTACACGCAGGGAAAATATATTGAGTATACGCAGCAAATATCAAGAATACGCAAGGGGAATAAATTAAGTATACGTAAGGGAAATATATTAAGTATTCGCATGGAATATATATTAAGTATACTTCCAGAAAGTATATTAAGTATACGGTGTGAAAATATATTAAGTATACGCAGGGGAAATATATTAAGTATACGCATAGGAAATATATTAAGTATACGCATAGGAAATATATTAAGTATACGTACAGGAAGTATATTAAGTATACGCTAGGGAAATATATTAAGTATACGCAGTGGATATATATTAAGTATACGCAAGGAAAATAAATTAAGTATACGCATAGGAAATATATTAAGTATACGCATAGGAAATATATTAAGTATACGTACAGGAAGTATATTAAGTATACGCTAGGGAAATATATTAATTACACGCAGGGGAAATATATTAAGTATACGCAGAGGAAGTACAAGTAGTATCTCTACATATATTTTTCTTTCTATGAGAAATTTAAAACAAAACTGGTTATATTTAGTTAATTTAGTAAAAACATAAGACATCTTTCTCTCAGTGCATGTTTATGTCAATACCCTTCCAGAGCTAAAGCCATTCCATATACTCGGAAACCATGTACATTTGCCTTTATGGCATTTGATGACTTTTTTATGAATTCTAAATAGGTCATCAATATGCATACCCATTTCCCCATCATTGGCAATTAGTAGCGCCTCTTTTGGTGGCCTATTGAGACAGTTTAAGATATGGAAATATATATAGTCATAAGATAGGTCATAAAATTGAGCAAAAATTTAGCAACTATAAGCTAATAATTCTAGTACAAAGTAGGGTATTCAACACTAAGCATTCCCAGTTTTTATAGCACCCCATGATGATCCATTAAAACATCCGATTAAGCTATTTAAGGAGCTCGAAATTGCCAATTGAGCTTTGGTAAATATTTGGGGGATTCACGAACGGCACGTGCCGCTATATCTTATAATAACCTGATCCCCCGTAGAAATACAAACTAACCCGATTTCATCTCAGTATGTATGCATACAAAATCATGTTTTTTATTAATTTTTCCATTTTTTTTAGCCTTATACACGTAATAGTTTGCCATTGACCACCACCAACGATGGGGTGTTCCGGTTTTTGAGTTCCACATTTTAAATTCGGCTTGAATTTCTTAGTTTTTTTGTTGTCTTAGTTGAAAATTGCATAAGCGTTTAGTAAAATAACCAAGGACAGGAAATTCAAACTTAAAAAACATGCCGCTCTTTAAAATGCATTTGTAAGCTTAAGTTTAGGTGAATATTCAATATTCGAGCTGATCACTGATCATTGATCACTGATCGAAATTCAGCTAATGTGACTTTCAAGTGTGCCAATTAGAATTAATTTCTTTCGTTCATTTTTCAAATCTCCTCTTTTGTACTCTCTTCACATAACATATATTATATGTATATCCAATATACGATCTATACTCAGACATTTCTATCAGGTTTCTCTTGCCATCCGATTCTCCTAGGGTGTAGCGCAGTTAGTGTAAATACCAAGTATGTAAATATGTCTCTTCTCTTAATGCCTTTCATTCATGTAAATATATATGAATATATTGATCTTAGTCACAAAAAAAAAAAAAATAATAATAACAATTAGCAATTACATTCATCATTACATTCAGTACACACATATTTTATATAATTTCTTTTACTGTAATGATAGGTAGATATACAAAAATATTATATATATATTTATTTATCAATAGATATCGCAGTGCGATATAAAAAAAAATAATGGGCACACTTTCAGCTTCAGTTTAGTTTAGTACAGTTGCACCCATGAATGCTAAGCTAGGCGTCTCTCTCTCTATCTCAATCTCAATATCTGAGAGTTATATAGATCGATCTATATTCTGAGATTGGAAATCAAAGTGCTTTAAGCTTTGGGCTTGGCATTATTCTTAGCGATGGCCTTGGCCTTGGCCTTGGCTTTTGAATTTGTTATTGTTGCTATTGTTGTGGTTGCTTTAGCTGCTGCGGTTGCGGTTGCACTTGTTGCACTTCCTGTTGTTGTAGTTATTGTTGTTGTTGCTATTGCTGCCAGCGTTGACGTCGGCGGCAATTGTGACGTCATAAATATCTGCTGCGGCTTTTGACCACCGGCCATCACACATTTGTCCTAAAATCGAAAAAAAGAGAGAAAGAAGAGAAAAAAGAAAACGGAAACGGAAACGGAATCGAAAACATTCCAACGGATGCCGCATTTGTTGTTGTTGTTTTTTTTAAGGGAAAGAAAGAAAGTAATTTATTTAATTTATGGCTTCGTTTGCGGACCCCATTAGTTAATATTGATCGTGGCAAAGTTTTTCGTAGCAAAACAAAGCGCAGCTAGGCAAAAGTCAATGCAGTGACAGTGAGCGTGATCGAACGTGACAGTGGCAGTGTGACCAGCTCATAAACATAAGGTACAGTCACTCCAAAGTAATCAAATAATAATAGAAATATTATACTTCTTTACAGAGATTCACAATTTGCTTTTTAATATAACCATAATATTTACATAACATAGGAAAAATATTAGCCATTAAAGAAAGAGAAAACCATTATTATAATAACTAATAGGAAACAATAAAACCAATTCCATATATTAATAATCGATTAGTCTCTGTTTAATTCTCCCCTGATTTGGTCACACTGCAACAGTAACGATAAGTTTGTGTTATTTTTTTTACTCGAATGTACTAAGTTGTATTATAGAAATAGTAGAAGAACATGCCGCTCAAGTTTTGCTGGAAAATTCAATATCAAGTAGTAACCGTGTGCGAGTGTTTTCTTATTTGTTTTTTTTTTTTTTCTTTGAGTGTATTTGCGTGTCCAGAACAGAGAATGTGGCGTTATTTTGGAAAATTGCTTGTCATCGTCAGATAATAATAGTTAAGTAATTTGAATAAGACTTGGAATTATGGATGGGGTCTCAAAGAATAGTATGCTTCTAATTTTTGGATCTGTCTAATTTACACTGGACAAGGAGGGGGCAAAAGGCAATCTAAAATCAAGATTAAACTATAAATCAAACAAAGTTTTGGATGAAGTAGTAAGTAGTAAGTAAAGAAGAAAATTGTGGGATACAGTAATAGGTATTAAGCAACAAATTTATAGGACAGATTACTGTTATTATGATTTTTTCCATGTTTTTTTCAAAACTAAAAAAGTACTTAAAAGTATTAAATGGCTTAGGTTAGACTTTACTGGGAATATAGAAGGAGGAGAGTAGGAAAACTTGACTTCAGATTGCTTTTAATTTGTGGCAGGACCAAAGACAATGTAAAGAACAAGATGCATAACGCGATAAGCGTATAAATACAATCTCTACAACTTATTCTTTATATAGTCTTTGGTTATACTTTAAGAGGAAATATATGTATATAGGAAGGAGAGAAGGACTCTGTTAGACAAGCTCTTTCTAGATCTTTGTTTAGAGTTGGAAAAGGGTATCTGGTAGCTTGCTAGGTGCTGGCTACTTGTGGTGTATAGGGAATAGGCTTAGCTTTGGAGAGAGGGACTAGCGGGCAATGGGCTGATGGCTACTTCTACGGCTAGGACTACGACTATGTCTACGTCTACGGCTAGGTAGTTTTTTTTGGATAGCTACTGCTCTGACAACTCAAATACAACTGACTCGGGTGGCACGGATGACGCTGACGGTACTCTCAGTACCTTTTGACCCCGGAAGCAGATGCCCATCATCCACTTGGAGCCGCTTCCTCCTCCTCCGCCTCCACCACCGTTGCCTCCATCATCATCTTTGCTCCGGATGCGATTAGCCGTTGTTATTGTTGTGGGATCTGCAACCATTGCTTCCGCTTGCGATTGCTGCAATTGTATCCTTTTCCCACGATCCTTATCCAGGCTCTTGTCCTTTTCCCGCGCCTTGCTTTGGAGCCGCGGAATCAGTCGCTGCCGCTGCTGTGGCTCATGGATCAACACAATGCTGGCACTGCTGGCCTTTCGTCCATTTAGCCTTTTATTTGGAGGTGATATTCTGTCCCAAAAAAGGATTAAGGAATTAGAAATTAAGACTGTGGAGAAGACTGTAGGCCTACCTCTTTCCAGTGGCTGGATTCTCGCCTGTTTGCTGATGCTGCTGCACTGCATCCGTGTCGGGGGCGGTATTATAGGCACCCGAGTACATGGAGGCCCTCTTGGGGGCCCATTCCGGATGACCACGTACAGAGAGCTGAGTGGCCAGACTCTTGAGGAGAACAGCGCGAACCTAGAGGAGGAATATCATACTCTCAATATATCATTCTACAAATCCTATTTCCTCACTTACCTCGCCATTTAAAAAACAATAGATGAGAGCTATGAAAAAGCCCTGAAACGAGGTGAGAAAGTACGTGGAATATGACCATACGGCAAAATTCGTGGCCGTCTTGAGAGGTGCCACCTGATGCAGGATGTTGGTGATGCCTAAAAGTGGCAGCAGGACTATCGCTGCCCTCACAGCCTTTCGTGTCTGCTCGATATCACTGGCCTGAGACTGCCTCAACTTCATCACCAGCACTCGTATGATGTTCACCAGGAAACAGAAGTTGAGCTATTTAAATTTAAAACAAGATCAGTTTATATTTCTGAGAATCTTCATAATCATTACTTACCAGTATCACGGCCAGACGCGGTCCCTCGAGTATCCAATAGTATGGCGTGAGATTATAGTTCCAAAGACAATCTCCCAAGGATGTGTCCATGTAGATCACTGTACACCGGGCCCACACAGTGGTCATCAGTATGGGAACACACCAGCCCAGACGTGAGAAGAATTTCAATGGAAAACTTCCTTGGAAAACGGCCACCGTTACCATATTGTGCAAATAGAGGCCCTCGATGAACATCCACATGAACATGGCGGTGCGAGCGTATTCCAATAGGACATACGATGCCTCACACAAATAGGGCTAATTTCGAAAGATATTTTAAAAAGAATTAAAACAATTACATTTTAGAAACTCTGACTGATTATAATTGTTATTAAAATTTAATTGATGTATGACTTTCTTGTTGTGAAGTAAAGAGTTTCCATTACAGGACATACAACTGCGTATGATCAGTAGGTATCTATGAAGAGTAAGTAACTATGATCAGTAACTAACTCTGAACAGTAAGTAACTTTAAACAAGAAGAATCTATGACCAGTGAGTAACTATGATCAGTTATTTACTACGACCAGTAAGTAAATATGATCAGTAAGTATCTATGATCAGTAATTAACATTGAACACTAATAAACAATGACTTGCAACTTTTGTAACACAACACATATCCGAGACTTGGCTGGTAAGAGCCACTTCGTTCCGGGGAGGTTAGAACTAGTTGGGAATCATATGCACAGATGTGCGAGATTTCTTTTGGAACGAAGAGCAAGCTATTTGAATGAAACTATGGAGATATTCTTGTATATAATTTTACTAGTATATAAATCGGATCATGACGAATCGGTGGACTATATATATACATATATATAGCTGATATAGGAACAATCGGGCGATTTATGGAACAAGTATAACAACTTTCTTACGAACGATCGAATAATTTATAGAAAACAAATTATAACTTTTAAAGTTTTTAATATATTCTCATCAAATTTGAGATATTACTATCTTTAAATGTTATAGAATATCGGTTTTAGTTTTATGAAAATCGGATTACTATATATTACTATATATAGCTGCCAGAGAAATGGTTGTTAAATATAGAGGAAAATGGGAAAATTGTTACTGCAAAATGTTATTTAATAAAAACCCACCGTATTTTCAATCACCGATAGACTGGTATTGGTGGCCGCCTCCTTGCTGCCCCTTCGGAACTGATCCAGATACAAGGTCAGCCGGATGATGACCTGCAGCACCATGGCAACGAATAGATTCTTATGGATCTTGGTGCGATTATTTCGCAACGAACGAAATGTGCAAAAGATCAGCAGGGAGACGATCAGGGCGAAGAGTGATAGGCAGAGACCAACTATCTCCAGGGTCCTCGTCCTCCTGGCTATCTCTATGTAAAGATCCAAATCCTCACGGCTGCCCATCTGCTGCATCAACCGGATGACCTCCGGCTTGTAACATGGCCCATAGTCCGTCCAGCCGGTGGCATTCGTTTCCGTGGCATTTGGCCTGCTCCCCCACCGGCCATCCAGTTCGCATTTTCGATTGGCAAACTCTGGGGATAATCATCATAATAATAATTAAAAGTGAGAGAGTGAAAGAGACTGGGGTGGTAAAGGGAGGTGTATTTCCCATGGATTAATGACTGCAAATCGAACATTTTGACACACTGACTGACAGCTGCAATTATGCCAATTCGGACGAACCAAGGACAACCTCTGACTCCTCCTCCTCCTCCTACGACCCTACGACCCTACGACCCTACGACCCAGTTCCCCAGGAAATATTGGGGTCTAAAATCTACACTCATTGGGGCTTAGGTAAATCAGGTCACGACAAAGCAGCACTGAGCGTTATTTTGTGATATTAATATAATAAATAATAGCTTATTAAATAAAGGATTTCTTACTCATACTTTGAAACACTTCAATATTAAAGGAAGAATGGAAACTAACTTCGGGAAACCGAAATTTCTATACCCTTGCAGAGAAAATCTATCATTACTCTGTCAAAAATGGATTAATTTCTAATCGGAAAGCTGTTTTGTGTTGGTTTTTCTTAGGTTAACAAATCTGCTTATTAATAATATCAATAATCCTAAGGAAAATATGGCTTATAGTGCATTAATACATTAAATTTCATACCAAATATCATTGAAATTGTAATATATCATTATTTTCTTTCAACCCTATTTAGATATAATTTTTTTCCCAGTGCACTGGCATTGCTTATTAAATACTTTTTGTTCCCCGTGGTGTAAAATCGTTCGATTTGCGGGCCCAGGACATATCATCATCATCATCATCATCATCGATGGGGTCGGAAACCCAGTTGGGATCGTAATTAAGCAATCGATGGCCAGCGGAGAGGCCCCCGAGCTCAGCTGGAGGCACACACCTGGCCAATGTGTGGGTGTGTGTCCACGCCCACCTTTGGCCCACTTTCGAAGTGACCTTTCCCCCCTCCAAGTAATGGGGTCAAGATTGGGGAGTACGGTTCCCTCATGCATGCAAATATTGAATTTCTCTCGTTGAATATGAAATCAAGTAATTGTTTTGCCCGTTTTCGTTTGGCAGTTGAACGGATTCCCAGCAAATGATCCGTATAATTGTTGCCGCCAGTTATATGTGTCCATATCCTTTACTGTTTAATTGCAGATTCACTAATTAAGCTAGGTTTATGGATGTAAGTGAGGCGACTTAAATGGTTGATTGCTCTTAAAATATAGTTAAGAATCTTGATTAATTACTTACTGCGCGTATCCACGCCATGATAGCCGCCAGGACAATTCATCCTGGCCAGGACACCGGCCGGAGTTGGTGGCCAGCAGAGCAATGTGTCCCAAGTCCAGTTGCAGTAAAGGCCTATCGATAAAAATATAGAATTATAAGAAAATATCAATTTAGATAGGGATAAAAATCGATAAATCGATAACTTCCGCCATCTCGATTATAAATCGAGTTCCCCTTTTAGCATTGCAGGAAAAGCCAATCGAAATAAAGGTAAATAATAAGAATATATCAATTTAGTTATCGATAAATCATCTTGAATATAAATCAAGTTCCTCTCTTAACCTTAAATCCCCTTTAATTACACAAATTACTTAATTAATGAATTATGAATTCATTAAACCTCACATCACTCACCTGTCTGTGGCAGGGTGTAATTGGCAAATAACGCCGAACAGTTCTCATAATTGGTGGCTGCCGCCGATGCCAACGTTATATTCCATGGTGCGGTGGCATTGGCATTGGCCAATATCTGTTCCGGATCTGGATCGCGTAGCACTTCCTTCACTGTCGCCTCCAGGGCCATTTTGGCCACACTGGTGACCCCATCGAGGACGAAATTGGGATCCAGTGCATCGGCATCTGGCAGGGGTAGTGATTCGCCCGTTCCATTGTCATGCAGAAACGGAATACGTCCGCCGCCAAGGACATCGTTTATGGGCAGCTGCGAGGATGTGGGCTCCAGCATAGATCCGGATGCGGATGCGGATGAGGATGAGGACGAGGATGAGGATGTGCTGGACTGGCGCAGCAGGCGAGTGAAGCGTTGAGCGGAAATGCCGCCGCCCGAGTCGAGAATGCTCGATAGTAGTGTCATATCGCCAAGGAAAGCATATTGCAACTGCAATAATCGATAAAAAATCGATATTGTTATCGATAAAATATTAAAGAAATATTTGTAAATGTATTTTTAAGTTTTCTTTCATTAAGAGCTTTATAAATGTAGGCCTAAACTTGTAATAGGATTTAATATACCATTTAATATGGTACCTACTTAATAATATTCTTACTTTCTGCTTTGACTAAATATCGATTTCTTAAATTTCAATTATTTTTAATTAACTGGTGTGAATACATTCCAGAAAGCTTCGTGCTAAGTCAGATGAGTTCTGGAGCCTTGATTAGTTGCTTCCCCCGATACTTATGGGATTATAATATTATATATATAATGCTAGCAACTGACTTACTCAGCTGCACCTGTCATTGTCCTTGGATTAGCATTTATCATCCAGAATGCATCTTCCATTGAATATTGAAACCTTTTCGCCTCCTATATCCTTCATCCTGCATCCTGCCTTCGGCTTCCGGGTCAGAGTTAATAGAAAGCTTATCGCACAATGCAAAACAACGCCAGAGATGCCTTTTGTTTACGGCTCTTTCAGAGATTTATGTATATATATATAGTAGAGGGGATCGTTTTGTTAACGCAGTTTGTGATTGCCCCTAATAAATGGCTACATTATTTATAGTAAACATCACACTCAGCACACTTAACCCCCACACATCACAATTTATATAGAGAAAGAACACACACATTGCATTCGCATTCGCATTCGCATTCACAGTTCCATATCATTCACATCGACACCGATTTGCAGTCAGGGATTATGTCTGGACACATGGGGCAGGAGGAGAAAGGACGAAGCTGGGACTAAGCTGGGTGGTGTGATGGATTCCAATGAGTTGGCTATTTACAATTCCAAAGAATATCGCCATTGTCCGGTGGATAGGGGAATGCATAAGCAGTCAACCCTTGGAAAAAAATGCCAGACTAAAAAATAGACAAGGAGTCAGTCAAAGGATATGGATATACATTAACATTACTTCAGAGAGAGATATAAATCAATTTTGCACTTTATGTATTAAATATAAGATTTTCCAGAAATAGTTAAGAAAATACTATTAACTATATATGCTATAGATATAAGATAAACGGAATGTAAATTACAAAATTACAATTTCTTTTAGGTGAAAATATCAAGGCATTTCCGTTGCTGTTTGTTTCCGCTTATGGAACATGGAAACGGAAGGCCAAAGAGGAGGAGCAGCATGCCATTCCGGAGAATTGCGTAAACAAGTCATCCGGGTTGGTAGGATTTCGAGGATGGATGCCAGGATGCCAGGATGCCAGGATGCGGCGGATGAATAGGTCGCCCAAGTCCTTCAATATTCCCCCTCTGAAATGCCTTCGAGGGCATTTTATATAATTTCATAAGAATTTCAATTTAGTTGCATATCCAGGAAAGGATACTTATGTATAAAAAATACATCAAGTAAATACATTTTCTTTAAGTCATAACCAATGCCATATTTACATCAAAAAGAGTATTTACAGGTTTATTGTAGGAAATGTTTAAAAACCTGTTTAAAAAATAATGTATATAAATGCATAAAATAAGTACATTTCTTATAAGCCAAAACTAATACAATTTGTACTACAAAAAGAGTAAGATTTTACTCTAAGAAATGTTTAAATACTTATTAAATAATAAAGTAAATAAATAAAAAAAAACATTTCCCATAAGTCAATAATAATACAAGTTGTACATAGCAAGAAGTATCTATTAGTTTTGATATCTTATATGTTTAAAATCTTCTTCAATAATAGAAAGAAATTATCATTATATTTACTATAGATGCTTCTTAATATTTTACATTTTCTTGTTTTTAATATACTTTAAGAAAAGCTAATCTACACATACTTTTAATGTTTTTGAATTTTTAGTACAAATCAAATACATATTCATGTATTATCGATATATTGCCTATCGAAAATTATCAAATAACATAATTAGAGACCACCATTATACATTTTCTTTCATAAAGAACTCTTATATTTTTCAATTTTTGAAATTTCCACACATACATATATATATATTTTATCCGTGTATCCGGATGATCATGATTAGTGAGCTTGGGCATGCCACTAGGCTTATCGATTCTAATCGATACTTATCGCTGCAGCGGCCCGAGTCTCGGGCGCGTTCGTAATTAAGCTAACTAAGCGCAAACTAAGCCACTCCAAAGGCAGCCGGCTCAAAGGATTCGTGTTTGGGATTGGGATTATTGCGTTTGGATAACTAACTGGAATGTGGGGTGACTGACGCCACCTCCTCAGGATTACGGATTCCGAGGCAGACGACCAGCACCGCAGACATTGGAGGACAGAGACTCTGATTTGGGTCACTTGGCAGCAATTGCAGCGGCTTAAAGTGCGTCTAAAAAGACCCGGTGGCAAGGGGTTAAGGGGCTAAGGGGTTAAGGGTGATGCTGACTCCTGGGAATCCCATTAAATACTTGGGTAATTTAGGGCAAAATGCTGTCAAGCGAGTAAAGGGGGTTCAACGAGGGGGATTCCCCAAAAAAAGTTTAAAAATCAATAGCAAAGGTCAAGGAGAGTTAGAAATTATAAAACTTTAAGGAGAAATAGGTAAACATTATAAATGAAGAGATATATAATTTTTGAAAATTTATTTTCTACTTATTTCTTTTATATTTTGTATGATTTTAATGGTAAATTTAAATATACCCAACTCTTTGGAATTAATATCTTTAAAATAAATAAAATGAATATATAATAAAGTTTTCAATCGTTTCTTGAGTATTCTATTATTTTTATGCTTTTATATTTGTATTATTTACTAATACTTATAAATAATTTTCCTTTAATTAAGAGTAAACCCCCAAGTTTCTGTAAAATTCCACCTGCTTCCTATAATTAATAGCTTGTAATAACAAAAATTCTTACAAGACTTTCATAAACATAAATAAGATTTATAACCCCGTAGATAAATCATAGCCATAAAATAACTTTTAATGGCAAACAATCAACCAGCAATTGGTGTAAATAACAAAAAAACAAAATTCCCCAACACGTTGTATGTAGTAAATTTAATTTGATATTTTTATTTTTATTTCTGGTTTTTAGGGCTCTCTTTTGTTTACTCGGTTTCATGCCGCTTGCCTCGGTTTAATAATTAATCAACTTACTTATGGAACAGCCACTCGTCGAATTTAATTATTTAAGACGGCCCCAAATACCACTGCTTATGGACTGTCAATGCAAGGCAAGGACATTCCAGGAGAGAGAAAACCCCGCATTAAGGACTCAATCGTTGGCATTAAAAAGTCATTGAGTATTGCGCCTAAAAACTGGGTTGATTGAGCCCATACAGTGTGTGTTCTGTGTGTGTGTGTGTAATCGATCGATTGTTTTAACAATTTTCATCGCCAAAAGTGCAGTCACATCAACGAGGCCTCGATATTTCCCATGCTTTTCTTTCCATTTTCTAGGCCATGAAAGGGGGCGTTGGGGCGTGGCATTCTCGCCTATAAGTATGTATATTTCTTTGGCATAATTATGGCGCAAAAACACAAAAAAAAAACAGAAAAAGAAAAACCGAATAATGAACGAAAATGAATCTCAAGAGCTGCTCTATACCCCATTCATGGAGAGACGAAATGTATAGAATGGGCCAATGTTCGCCAACAAAAGGGTTGTGGAAAATCTGCGGCGAAGGGAAAATGTGGGAGGAAAACTTGGTGGGGGAGGGGTCTGGGTTGGGTTGGGGATTCGGTTAGGCTTCAACGCGACGCTATTTGAAAAGTTTTTCGCGCTATTTGACAAGCCAAAGGACTTTTCACTGCGGGTTTTCTTTGGCTGCCAGAGTACAAGTACAGTGCGTTATGAAAGGTAAAAATTTAATTTATATAAATTTGTATTTCTTTGTTTTTTAATATAGAAATATAGAAATTTTCATTCAAGTATATGTACCTAATTTTTGACTAGTTATGGTTTTATTATTTTAATGAATTATACAAAAAGAAAGAATTTCTGTAAAACTCCAACTCGAATAATTGTGCCTAATTTATGCCTACCTATAGTTAGCAAGGTCATATTTTATGTGTGTCCTTTGCACAGCCACACTGTGTGATGCAAGGACAAAGGAACTCAAAATGTATGTTCTGCATTTATTTAATTGTTATATTAAATGAAGAACGCTTTTATTTAATAAAAAGAGAAAGTAAATATGCAAATAATTTACAAGCACATATTTCTGATAGACATTTATTACTTTTCTATGAAAAATATATCAACTGTATTTGTCACAAAGGAACAAATATTAAATTGGTTACATTTTTGTTGTTTATATTCAGACCACAACATATGCCACACACAGGTGTGAAATGCAATCATTTGTCAATTGCAATTATTTCAAGCATACCAAATGTGAGCGACAATTCGTTAATAGGAAAAATGGAACTTTGTGCAAATGATATTCCTTGACTTTCGATTCATATTTCTGCTTAATTTTGTGGGATTTATTACAAAACACACATTTAATTTAATTTAAAATTACACTTTGGTAAACATCAATTATTCACAAGCTCCAATGGCCATGAAACACATTGTAGTCTGGGCAAAAAGTCCAGACCACTTATTATTATTCGCTAGAAATTCTATAATAGTTGTTTATAATTTAAAGTAGATGAAAATAAGATGAAAAAACGACAAAGTTAAATATTTTCCAAGTTAGTTTCCCTTGAACTTGGTTTAATCCAATTAGAAAAATAAGATCTACGCCAGTGATCCACAAAGTGGATCGTGTTTTCAGTTCTGGCCAAAAACAGCTGATATTTGTGACACTGCGGCATCCCCTTTTACGCCCACATCGTCCATTTCTCTCTTTCGCCTTTTACTCCCCACTCCCGGCCGATCTATGTTAACGCTTTCCTTTCTGTATGTGAGCAGCTCTGTTAATTAATTTAACATTTTACATGAGAATGGTAACCCAATGGCGAAAATTCCAGCTATCTGTAAGCGTGTGG